AAGCTTAAAAACAGGTTCAGGTTGAATAAATTTAAGCTAGAATTGGGTATTCTAAATATACTATGCTATTTGAGGGAAAAAGAGAGGGAATATTGGACGTATTGATTATATTATGTATATATAATGTCTTGTTTTAAGATGTTTGATTACCCCAGCACCATGGTGTGTCCTGAATATATTGCTTTAAGAACTTTAAAAAAACAATAAAATTTGTTTAAAAAAAGAGAAAGAAATGACCTTGGTTCCCACGGGAAAGTATTATTTTTTCATCATGGAGCCTATGAAGTCTTAAATAAAATAATTCAGAAAAAAAAGGATAATGAAAGACGCGTACATGTAAAGGGAATTCAGTTGGCTCAGATTGTATAGTATTCATCAAATTCAAGAGTTAACTTGAGAATAAAAGTATGCATCTTTATAATTTCATGTTTTACTTTATATGATCATTAATTTATATGAAGTATTGCCAATGATTTATTTTCTCAATGGACTGAACATTTCTACAAAACATGACAATATGTAATACATGTTTCTACAAATATTTTTGTCAATTTTGTATAAACTTGTCTGGAGTTTTCTTCTGAAAGCTGATTTTCCTCATGAATTTCAGGGTAAATTCTTTGTATTGTCATAGTATAATTTAATTGTAGGGAGAAGAGAATTTATGCCATTAAAAGAAGAGACAGACATGAATGCAGTTAAGCTGTCCACTGAGATCTGATTATCTGATGTAATTTAAGAGAACAGGCTTATTAATTATTTATACTGTTATGATAGCTGGTTTCTACACAGAGGAACAAAATCCTCTTAATGTAAGCTAGATTCATTTGCTAGGTAATAAGTCCTATTGAAAATAATAACCTCATTTCTAAATGACATTAGGGTGGCAAATATACTGTAGAAAGGGCCACACATTTTATTTTACAAAAACAATACCTATCACATTGAGGCATGTGTGGTAAAGCAAATAGGAATTGCATGATAGTTGTCATGTACTATAACTACTATATTTTCTCTAGATATTCTCCATTTCTATTAGGATCTGTATGGACTTTAACTTGGTCTTTTTTGAGAGTATTAATATTCAAACAGTAAACTATTTACAGCCTTTCCATTGCTACTAACCTGGCAATATCGTGAAAGTTTTCACCCATATAGGTGCAATATTTTGGGGGACAAAGAGCATTACTGAAGTCAATATAATTTACTCAAATATAAATCCTGTGGTGTGATACAGCAGATTTTTTGGATTATATTTCAAAGCAAGTGGCTATTTATGCAACCAAATACATTTCTGATTCCAAACAACATTCAATACTTCACCTTATGATTTATTTTATATTTACAAATATGCCCCAGGAGCATGGGAGGAGGGTGATAAGAGTTTTTATGCTAATCTAAACAATTCTCTTCCCGTGGGAACCAAGGTCATTTCTGTTCATTAGACTGGGGACTGGGCATTTTGTTAGAAAGCCCGCCAAACTATTCTATTGGTAAATGTAGTTGATTGCATAGTACTGGGATGGGAAGTTTAACTTTGTAATATTGTAACTTTTTGGAGGAAACCTTAGTCTTGGTTTCACTTTTGACCATGCAGATGTTTTGTAGCTAATAAACATGTTCCTAGAGGAAAACTCTAAGTGTGCTGCGGCTGCCAAAAAAGCCAACACAATGCTAGGCTGCATTAACAGAGGGATAGAATCAAGATCACGTGAAGTATTAATACCACTTTACAATGCTTTGGTAAGGCCACACTTGGAATACTGCATCCAGTTTTGGTCACCATGATGTAAAAAAGATGTTGAGACTCTAGAAAGAGTACAGAGAAGAGCAACAAAGATGATTAGGAGAGGCTAAACCATATAAGGAACTGTTGCTGGAATTGGGTATGTCTAGTTTAATGAAGAGAAGGATGAGGGGGGACATGATAGCAATGTTTCAATATCTCAGGGGCTGCCACAAAGAAGAGGGAATCAAGCTATTTTCCAAAGCACCTGAAGGCAGGACAAGAAGCAATAGGTGGAAACTAACCAAAGAGAGAAGCAACCTAGAACTAAGGAGAAACTTTCTGACAGTTAGAACAATTAACCAGTGGAACAACCTGCCTCCAGAAGTGGTGAATGCTCCAATACTGGAAGTTTTTAAGAAGAAACTGGACAGCCATTTGTCTGAAATGCTATAGGGTTTCCTGCCTGAGCAGGGGGTTGGACTAGATGACCTCCAAGGTCCCTTCCAACATTATTATTATTATTATTATTATTATTATTATTATTATTATTATTATTATTATTATTACTAAATCAATCCTATATGGAGAGAATGTTTAATGTTTGGTTTTTAGAACAGCAGTTCCCAAAAGCTAAAATAATGCTATTCCCTAAAATTATAAATGAATCCATGTGATTCCCAAATGAATACAACTAATTATTCTTTGAGTTTATGTTTGGGCAAGAAATAAACATTCCATTTTTAATCACTGTATTTTAACTTATATGTTCCAAGGGTTCTTAGACTTTAAAATATTATACTGGAAGTGCTCACTGTGGGTTTTCACAAGTATATAAAGGAGCAAAACCTGGAGCGAGTTTTGACAATGCATCTGTTTTGTTTGTGGAACACTCATCAGATAACAGTTAATAAAACTTATGGCACCCTTCCTTATTGCTGAGAAAGTCCCAGGTACAAGTAGTTTATGACTTACAAACGTTTGTTTAGTGACTTTTAGAAGTTATGAAGGCACTAAAAAAAAGTGACTGGTGACCAGTTTTCACACTTACAACCATTGCAGCATCTCCATGGTTATATGATCAAAATTTGGGCGCTTAGCATCTGGCATGTATTTATGACAATTGCTCTGTCCTGCAATAATTCACAACCACATTATTCACTAATCAACTGCAGTGATTGGCTTAACTATGGCAAAAACGGTCATAAAGTAGGGCAAAAGTCAAAACAACCACCTTGCTTAGCAATGGAAAATTTGGGCTCAGTTGTGGTCATAAGTCAAGGACTACCTGTAGTCCTGACCTACAATTTGAGAACGAAAACTTCTAGGGCAGGGTGGGATACAATTTCCCTCCTAGCAATCTGAACTGGAAATAGTTGGTCTGTAGAACAAGACTTTCAGGGTCCTGTGATGTTTATTAGTGATATTTATTAAAAGGGCATTATTGTTGCAGCAGAAGAATTCTAATGAGTTTCGACTAAGAAAGCTATATACCGTATTTTCCGGCGTATAAGATGACTTTCTAAACCTTGAAAATCTTCTCAAAAGTCGGGGGTCGTCTTATACGCTGGAATATACAGGTAGCTGTTCTCTGAATTTAAAACCAGCCCTATTTTTTTTTTTTACAGAAATAAGCACTAACAGGACAAAGCATACAAAAATCCCATTTTTTTACATCGCCCATCACTTTATTCTTTTTCAGGAAAAGCAATTAAATAGTAGAAAACAGTAAGCTATATAAATTAAGGACATTACATCTACAAAAAAAAGAAACATTTGATTTACTTCTTATACCTATAGCAGCAGTCATGAATATATGGAAAAACTTTTTGATTCAGCAAATCACATTGATTAAGAAACATACTGGTCAAAGGAAAAAGATCAAAGTGAAAATTAAGAAAATAGATGATGGGATCTACCAGAGAGAGTATTTAAAAAAAAAACATTTGTTTGAATGTGGTTAAAGAAACAGAAAAGATTCTGAATACATATGTCATTCTAAGAGAGATAAATTCCTTAAATAATACTATGTGCTTTCCCCCCCTTTTATTTTATTTCTTGATATAAGTAATATAATACTGCTGAAATGGCCTAGATGAAGGAAATGTTTTAGATAATTAAATGTGTCTGAATTTAGGGAAATTATAATGTATAAAAAAGAAAAAAATGTTTTGAATAAGACCTAAAGGATTAGATGACTAGGCATATTAAATGGAATATTTAAAGATTAAATATATTTTATCAAAATAATAAGAACTATATTATTTCAAGGTTTGCAAAGAAGACATTTTGGGGGAAAGGAAATTAACTAAATGTACTATGTGGATTATAGATTATAGATACCAATTGTTAATGATTTTTCTTTACAAATGTAAACCCAGCAAACACACTGTTTACCAACTATTAAGTGATTTATGTTTTAAAAAATCAATAAAATATATGGGGGAAAAAATACCAGCTGAGTTCAGGAAGCATTAGGGAAGCAGCGGTGGGCAACACTCGCTTTCTAGCAGCAAAGGAATGGAGCTCCTATTGTGCTCATCTATAAACAGAAATTCAATATTGTACCGTATTTTCTGGCGTATAAGACGACTTTCTAAACCCTGAAAATCTTCTCAAAAGTTGGGGGTCGTCTTTTATGCCCAGTTGTCTTATACGCCGGATTATACGATATATACAATCTAATGTGGCAAAAAACCTGGTTGTCTTCTCATATGTTTTTGATTCAGAGGAGAAGAGGGTTGTCTCTTCTGTTGAAAGGGTCAAGATACATCTATTGTCTACTATTATCACTGTGAGAATAACTTACAGGTGAAACACATGTTCTATAGTCAATACCACACTGTGCTGTATAAAAAATAAGGACCCTGATAGCAACACAGTTCTCTTATGTAGTGTGGTGGTTAAGATGTTGGAGACCCAAGTACATATTCAGACTTTATCTGAAGTTGGTTGGATGGCTTTGGGTAAGTTATTGTCATAGAGAGGTTATGGGGAAAAATCAAACAAGGAAGTACTCCACCTTAAATTTTTGACAGAAATGTAGGATAAAATTTAAACAAATAACAGTCTATAAGTGATCTTTCTTGTATGCTAGCATTGCTTCTTGTAGATATTACAACATTAAGCAGTTGCCAAATTTTAAGAGATTTTAAGAATTAAGGTTCAAGAATTATTAATACTTCTAAAATGCAGCAAAGCACCCTGAGATTAAATGTTGAAATTAAAATATGTCATTTCCACTCTTAAATACATTTATTATATATTTATCCAGGTGCCCTTTTTCATTCAGCCAGTAAATGCTGACATCACACAGCAACATTCCTGTGTGCCTTCATGAGTGGCTTTCACATAGAGAAAAGGAGATGCTTTAAAGAATGGAGTTGGCTTGCAGCTTGCTATTTAATGAAGAGGTTTATAATCAGCTGGGTGAATTTCAGAAAACAGAATTTGCTTTGGAATGGCTGAGGTTTTTGGAAAAACTTTTACCAGCAACTAATCAGGTAAGAATGATACAACTAGAACAGAACATATTTTTGTTTCCTGTTTTCTTCCCTTTTATTCCTGGGGGGGGGGGGAATATAAGGGGTATATATAGGGAACTGACTAGTGACTAGAAATGGAAATTGAATACTATTTTGAGCCAGGCTTCACTTGAATAAGTCTGAATCCAGCTGAAAGTGGTCTGAAGCTTTTCGGATAGTTCAAAGTTTGAATGACTCTCTTGTTAACCGTATATTCTATATTTCCAGGCTGATATAAGGGAAAAACAGAACAAACTTGTTGAGCAATTGATATCTTTATTAACCAATTCACCAGGACCTCCTGCTAGACAACTCATTGCCAAGAACCTTGCTATATTGTATAGCACAGGAGATGTTTTTTCTGTTCACCAAACAATTGACAAATGCAATGAACTTATTCTCAGTAAAGATGATTCACCAAGCTATCTACCTACTAAACTGTAAGTTTAAAAGTCCACCATGGTCATAATAAAGTATTATTTTTTCATCATGGAGCCTATGGAGTCTTAAATAAAAATAACAAAATTGCATAAAGTGTGAGTTTTGAAGATTAGAATAGGACTCCATCCAATTTTTCGTTGGCCTGGTAACAGAGCCATAGTTCCCTATGTTTTCCCATGCAATGCCCATTTGCACAACACAAAGGCAATTTTTTTTTCTTTTTAGATCCTATTCATTTTAGTTGTATGAATCTTTAGTTGAAATGAGTCAGGAATGAGTCTTTAGTTGGATAATGGGAACAGAATAATCAAAATAATTTAGTTTAGAAAAAGAGACTGATGAAAACATAGCAATTGGAGGAATGCCTAGAAATGTTGGATTGACATTTATACGTTGTAGTGGGTAACTAGACGGGCATTTAAACATAGGCCGTCAAGAATTACAGTCAAATAAAGAGCTCCAGTCTCCAATTTGGCACCAATAATGCTCCATCCTTTCTCAAGTGAGCTGCTATCAGATAGAAGCCCCTGCCTTTGCCTCTAACATAAAATCTTGGCCTACAATATTTTTGAGATGAAGTTTTAGCTACTGTATATCTTATGAGGATTGCACAAGATTTTTCAAAGGAATAGGAGGTATGCATAACCTAAAAATAGGCTTTAACAATTGAAAAACATTTAACCTCAAGTAAACTCAAGTTCCAGGATATAACATCATTAATTCTTCAGTTATGGGTGTTTCTTTTCTGGATACAGATGGAAGAAAATCTTTAATTTTAATGTTTATATGTTTGAAACACAATTTCATTTTTTAAAAAGGTGGGCATAAAATTTGTTGTGCACAACATACTTTTCATTATATGAAACTTCTCTTAATATAAACATTTTGCAAATGCTTTCTTCTAACAGATGTCTATTGCATTATCTTCTATAAATTTATTATACTAATAATTGCACCTTCATATCAATTATTTTATGAAATTCTAGTGGGTGGCTCCTACTTAGAACTCAGACTTGCTTTATGTTGAGGAAAAAATTCAGATAGGCTGAGAAAGAAGATAACAGATTAAGACAGGTTGCTCCTGTTTCATTTTGTATCTTGAGTGTGTCTGTTCACAGCATGCAGTTCCCAGTTGTGGACATGTGGACAATAATAGCAATGCAAGGTAGTGTCTAAATTAGAAATTGTAGTTTCAATAAAATATCAGGAACATACTTGGGAAAATTTGAGTTTTGCCTGAGTTTATGACATACTATCCAATATATGGCAGAACTGATTACTACTGTCTTCATTGAATTATGTTAGTATTATTAAGAGTGGTAGCCTGATTGGTTTCTCTGCATTACTAAAAAAGCATCATGTGAAGATTAAATTGGCCAAAGGCATGATAGGGAATGAAAGTTGTAGACTCATCTGGTTATGACCATGGTATATGATAAATCATGACTTTGAATGTAAATGGTGTAAATGGTAATGAGTATGAATTAACGAATGAAAGAAAAAGCACATAAACAAACAGAAATTTAATGTCTGATCTTGGAGAGAGGAGTTGATGAGTACCTGCATTGATGTGAAAGTGTGAGTTTCATTACGAATAAGTGATTTTGATGAAAATAAATATTGCCTGGAGATGGGTGAAGAAGACTAAACAAGAAACCTCTGTTGACTCTATTGAGTCAATAAAACTGTAAATACAATTAAATACTTTGGAATGTAACTGAAATGAGAAATGTATTTATTTATGCTAGAAATAGTATGAGAGACTGTTGCATGGGAATGTTGAATATCAGTGGAATTACTTGTGTCTGACAGTTAGGAGAATGCTATTATACTTCCTCTATATCAGTGGTTCTCAACCTTTCTAATGCTGTGACCCCATAATACAGTTCCCCATGTTGTGGTGACCCCCAAGTGGGTGTGGCCACCAATAAGAGGGAGTAGGACAGCTAGGGAAAAGGGAAAAAAATGGCGGACAGCGTGGTTTGGCGACCCCCGTGAAATGGTCGTTCGACCCCAAATGGGGTCCCGACCCACAGGTTGAGAACCACTGCTCTATATAAAAGGAAAGGTATTCTGTAGGAATTTCTTAAAAGTGCAAAATAGCATATTGATTTTTAATCAATCTCAGAAAATGACAAAAGCAGATACATATAAAAACAGAAAATAAAAATTAGGGGACTGAAGGCTAAAGCATATGAGGAACGGTTGCTGGAATTGGGTATGTCTAGTTTAACAAAGAGAAGGACGAGGGGGGACATGATAGCAGTGTTCCAATATCTCAGGGGCTGCCACAAAGAAGAGAGAGTCAAGCTATTCTCCAAAGCGCCTGAGGGCAGGACAAGAAGCAATGGATGGAAACGAATCAAGGAGAGAAGCAACCTAGAACTAAAGAGAAACTTCCTGATAGTTAGAACAATTAACCAGTGGAACAACCTGCCTCCAGAAGTAGTGAATGCTCCAACACTACAAGTTTTTAAGAAGAGACTGGACAGCCATCTGTCCGAAATGGTATAGGGTTTCCTGCCTGAGCTGGGGGTTGGACTCGATGACCTCCAAGGTCCCTTCCAACTTTATTATTATTATTAATATTATTATTATTATTTTCTATCAAACTCTTATCACAGTTCATCAGGTACCAGGCAGTGCCAGCCAAAAATAAATCAATAAAAGTTATACTTTACAGAGATGAGTAAGAAAGTTTGAAAAAAGGCTAGATTAAAACAAAACAACCAGCCAATAGCAAAGTTATCACAAACTCTTGCCTCTTTCAAGTATACTAGGACTTTCTGCATGTATATTCTGGCATAGGTAACTTTTTTATCATTGAGATTTACACTTGTGCTTTTTTTATTTTTGAGGCTGTCAAGGACTTCACAGATATGTTTATACTAGTAAAGGCTGACTTTTCAGTCCGTACTGGAATTTGGTGAAATGCTCTTTAACAAACTATATTTCTGTGCAAACTTTATAGTCCACTTGAAGGAATGCTTGGCTTACAACACAGCATCCTGCAATCATTTCACCATGATTTGCAATATTTTTGTCAAAAACTAGCATTTACTTCTGGTTTCTGGCAAAAACCACCCAGAATAAACAATGAGTTCACTTAGCAACTATGGTGTTTGCTTAGCAACTACCATAAAAAAATATTAAAATGAATGGGTTATATGATGATCTGCTTTATGACCATCACTGCTTACAACCATAATTACCAGGCTCGGTTATGGTTGTAAGTCAAGGACTACTTGTAAGTAAGAAATTCAGTTGCAAAGGCAAATCCAAGATGTTTCTTTGTACCAGGTTGTGAATTAGTTTAGTTTTTTTTAAATAAAGTGATTCTAAAATGTATATTTTAAACCTACCTTATACAACTGGTTGTCTTTAAGTTTTGTTGTGCAGAATTACCAGTCAACATACTGCTGGACATGGCAACCTAATACAACTAGAAACCATAGGTTAAGAAAATTTTCCTGAATAATTTAATATTTAAAAGCTTTTTATTATTAATAGCTATTGATTATTCAGAATCTCATCTGTTTATAATAAAATGCAGTATAGCATAATATTAATAATTTTTTTTAAAGGTTGCCTGACTGTTTTTCTTCTTCTCTGTTTTAAAAGTGCTGCAGTGGTTTGTTTGGGCTATTTATACAAAAAACTGGGAAGAATTTTGGGCAACAGCTTTGTGAATACTGTGGGAAATATTCTTAAAGCAATGAAGAATGCAGAGGTAAATGAGCAAGTATTCAAAGTTGAAATAAAATATTGATTTAAAGTTTAATGAAGAAAACAATTTTAATGAAGGTCTAATGCATATGATATTTTGACATTTGAGGATGATGTGCTAGATAGAATTACATTTTTGGTGAACTTCTTTGAATCATAAATTGGTTAATAATAATTACAAAGTATGATGAGTCTTTGTTAAGACCTTTCTTCTCTTTTTAATCTTTATTGAAACTTACATTAAGATTGAACATTTGATGCCATGATTTAATTTTTTCTTCCGTTCCCTCTGCTTCTTGTTTTTATTCTTACTATTTTTTTATATTTTTATTGTGATGTGTCTATTAGAAATCTTTAGTGTTGACTTGTTTTACTTATAGTAATCATGTTAAAGATAATGTTAGAGATAAAGATAAAGATGATGAAAATGCTTTAAGTGAAACAATTGGCTTGCCTAAAAATGATGAGTATTGTTATTTTAAGTAGTCACACTTGCATCTTCATTAATGCAGAAGTGGTCTAGAAGTGTCTGTTTGTATTCTTTGTAAAATAAACTCAGGTTTTCAGTACCAATAACTTAATAAAGAGCCGAGGTGGCGCAGCAGTTAGAGTGCAGTACTGCAGGCCACTTTAGCTGACTGTGTTCAGCAGGTCAGCGGTTCAAATCTCACCGACTTAAGGTTGACTCAGCCTTCCATCCTTCCGAGATAGGTAAAATGAGGACCCAGATTGTTGGGGGCAATGTAAATATATATATACATTGCTTACTGGTGTACACCACTTAGAGAGTGCTTGCACTTAAAGCGGTATATAAGTCTCATAAATAAATAAATAAAATAAATAATAAAGTGCTGAAACTTGTTATAGACAGTCAATTTCCAGTACTGTGCATAACTTCTCTGCCGTGAATTTAACAGTGGGACCTTTGGCAAAATTTTTGACCTAATTCACCTAACATGATTATGATGTTACTAAAGTTTTGTTCGTTGAAGAGTAGCAAAATAAAAATGTAAAAATAGAAAACAAACCTGGTACTTTTGTCCTATGATAAGATTTTTTTTTTTTTTGTCTTGTCAGTCTCAAGGACGATACGAGATCATGCTAAGTTTGCAGAACATACTGAAAGGGTTGGGAGCTGCTGCTGTTCCTTGTCACAGAGATATCTACAAAGCTGCTCGTACATGTTTGACAGATAGATCAATGGCAGTTCGTTGTGCTGCTGCAAAAGTAAAATATTATTCTTTTTTTGTAATTAATCTTCTTGTATACCACCTTATATGTTACATGAAGAATAAAGCAGCATCCATTGCAAACACTGTTTTGTATTACCAAGAAGATTTTGGCCTATATAAGTATGGAAAATAATATTTTTTTAGGATTTCCCCCTCACAGATAAATTCAGTATATTAGTTTATTTCTATTAAAACTATATACATTTTGCAGCATGATATAATATCTCTAAAGTTTCACTGACAATAGCAATGTGTATATGTATTACAGAGAGACAGTTTGGTGTAATGATTAGGGGACCAAGCTAAAAACAAGGACACTGTGAGTTCTACTCCCACTTTAGACACAATGACAGCTGAGGGACCTCGGTCCAGTCAGTCTCTCTCTAAACTCTAGGCAAACCACTTCTGAAATCTTGCCAAGAAAACTGCAGGGACTAATCCAGGCAGTTACCAGAAGTCAACAATAACTTAGAGACACTGCCCATCTCCCCCACCCACCCACCCCCAAAAATTTACAAGTCAGATCAAGTAACTTTCTTTACCCATATACATTTTTCTTAGGATATTCAATTTGTGTCATTTGAAGTAAATATTCTCATATTTTGGCAAGTAACATTGACAAAGTAAGTGTTTTATGTTTTTTTCTTCCTAAATGGATCTCATATTCATTTTGGAATAGTTATTCTATGCAACCAGCAATTTATGATCTTTTCTGGAATGACAAAAAGAAAATTGAGCAAAGTACCAAAGTCCCCCCCCCCACACACCAAAGGAAGAATGATTGGAGTATTTTATTTCCTTCATCTGAAGGAGCTGAACATTTGTAAAGTTTAATTATCTTAGGTTTATATGCTTTCCTTTCCTTTTCTTTCCTTTATAATTAACAGTGAATAGATATTTTTGATATTAAGCTAGGTTTGAGATTTTTTAAGATTTTTTTATCCTGCCTTTATTATTTTTTTTATAAATAACTCAAGGCAGCATATATGCATAATGCTTCTTTCTCTTCTTATTTTCCCACAACAACCCTGTGAGGTGGTTGGCTAAGAAAGAGTGATGGCCTAAGAGGGATGTGTCTGTGTTTATATGTGTGAGTGTATGTATGTAAAAATAAATAAAATGCCCCACTAATGAGCCCTCCCACCCAGATAAATTGATGCTATTCAGAGTCCTAATAATAATTGCTACATTCTACAACAAGGTTCTTCCTTCCTCTTGGTTGATGTTACATGTTTCTGGGTCAGATTGGAGGGGAGAAGATGAATTTATGTGATAGGTGTTATTTTGCTGCCAGATAGACATTGTTGGTTGCAACCCACTTTTTAGGTACTTTTTAAGCTACACAATAATTGTGGATACATTATTTGATTTGTTTATTTTGCTTGTCTTCCTTTTCTCCCCCCCCCATTTTTTTTTAAATAGTGTCTTCTTGAACTTCAGAGTGAAGCAACTTTTATGTGGAGTACAGACATAGATAGTGTAGTAACTCTATGTTTTAAATCCTTTGAAGGATCCAACTATGATGTGCGAATGGCTGTTTCTAAGCTTTTAGGCTATGTATTGATTAGTGCTATAACATCAAAACAAGCCACAGGTGAGGTGTTTTTTTTTTCCATCCTCACTTTGGCTTAGGAAATTGTAAGCACTATACCTGCCAGTACAGACACACAGACAGACAGATAGACAGACACACACACACACACACACACACACACACACACACACATATACACATACACACACACAAACACATATATGAATATTTTGTCTAAACTATGTCAAAACATTACCATATTTAAGAAAATACATGGTCATGGTGTGTATTAGATCAGAATAAAAATTGTGACAGAAAATATTTCCACTTTCTGCAGTGTAGAGTGATAAAAAACTAACATTAAAGGGGGAAATAAATCAACTAAGTGGCAATTAAACTTAATAATACCCAGATGAAAGGGGAAATAGCATATGAGGAAACATTGTAAATAGTAAAAATTACTAAAATTATCTAGAGTTAGTTTTTGAAATGCCGATCTAGTACTTTAGTCGCCCCCATTCAATTTAATTTTAATATTAATAATCTGTACTACAGAAGTGAGCCCCATCTCATTGATGTACCTTTATTCTATGGATTATTTGATGTGTCCTATCTCCATTTTGATGATGATGAAAATAATTCATAACATCGAAAGATTTATTAATTAGATGTACCAATTTAATTACTATTAATAATAGCAAATTTACTCTAGCCTTTTTCTGTCATAAAGAAAAGGTAGTTTATCTAAACGATTACAGTATTTTCAATTATATTATGTAATTTAATGAGGATAAAGCTAACTTGACTTCATTTGGTTAACATGATGTAAACAGGTTGTATTAAGTTGCATACATGGGTATACTGAAATAACATGGTCATTTTATTAATGATATTTCTGAATTTAGAGTAACATTTGCCCTTTGCCAAAGTTTGATACCAGTAGTATTCAGTAATGCAGAAACACTTGGGCCTCCATGCCGTCCAATGGATCAATGGACTATTAACCCATTTAATCATTATGTTCATAAACACCTTGTTTCCATGATAATGATGTTTGTCAAACACATTGTTCTAGACCAGGGGTATCAAACTGCCGGCCCATGGGCCAGACATGTCATGTAGAAGTCGCACCCACCCCATTGCCGGCAATAGCAAAACTGTTCCGATACGTTACGCAATGTCATGTGACTTTGTGAGGTTGACATGTCTGTTCTAGACAGTGAATCAGACCTCTCAACCCTTGCCTATAACCATGACTTGGTTTAGCTTAGTTGGCCAATATATAGACTGAGTTCAGACTGTTAGCTATTATTTTATAGATAAATATGAAGTACAAGACTGGTTGCAAAGCAGAGTCTCTCTGCAACAACCTTTCTGCTGCTTATATTTTATTTTCATGTGATTGAGTCTCATGTGATAGTTGTATTTTAAAAAAGAAAAGGATCTGTGAAAGTTGCTGGTTATGAAAGACTTTTCCATAAAATGACATGTAGTTTATCACAGATTTGAATATTTTATCCATGATTGTTTGTTTAATTATTTATTTGCCATATTTATAGGCTGTTCAATTGCCCAACAGCTTTGGTTGGGTTCACAAACTAAAAACACAATAGCCAATAGTTCTTGGTTAACAACCTTGTTCAGCAGCCTTTCAGCCCTACAATAAAAGCTGAAAGTAAATGAAAGACTGTGGTGTGTGTATATGTGGCATATGATTATATGTATTTTTTTTATTGAAAAAGCATCTGCTAGACAACACGTTCGCAAAATCTCATTTATGGAAGCCTTGGAACTGCTAGGGACAGGTTTTCTTCGTGGAAGTTCTGGATTTCTACGAACTGGTGGTGATATTCTGAAAGGAATCAGCTCAGTCAGCAGGGATGTCAGAGTTGGAGTTACTCAGGTTTGAGTTATATTATGTTGTGTTTTAACTTTTTTTAATTTGTTACTGTACTATGTACTAGTTCCTGTTGAATATGCTTATGTTGCAGTTAGGTTTTTTTCAACGTTCTGAAGAAATCTGAATTATTTTAATACTGATGAGCATTTGTCTCAATTATTAATGAAAACTTGTACATTTTTAATTTAAAAATGGCAGACATAAATCAAATAAGAAAATGAAGAAATAAAAATTTAAAAATACTTTGACCACCCAAGACAGAAATTATGAAAAAGGACTATGTCTGTCATCAGCATAAGCCTCTGAAAACAACAGATTTGGATCAAATTTGGTGTGATAAGGGAAGGAAAAAAATCCCCCAGTACATCTCTTTGGGAAAAAATCCCCCCCCTCCCCTGGTACTTCCCTATATAATCGACACCTTGGAATGCTCCATTCTAAGCATACTTCCTTCCTATCACATTATCCAGACTATATCATATGTTGCTTCTAACATACATAAAAATGCTTATATAAAACTACGCTGTTCTCTTAGAATGCTGTGAATTCCTCAGTTTCATAATCCATAAAATAAAATAATAGTCTTCACAAAATACTCAGTTGCCCTCATTGATTAAATAACCTGTTATACCTAAAGCAAACATTTTACAATTGTTGCCTTGTCTGGGGTAATTACTTAACTGTTAGAATAAGATATTGCTAAAGCAGTGGTTCTCAACCTGTGGGTCGGGACCCCAGTTAGGGTCGAACGACCATTTCACGGGGGTCACCAAACAACGCAGTCCGCCATTTTTTCCCCCTTTTCCTTAGCTGTGCTACTCCCTTTTATTCTATTGGCTTTTGAAAGCCAATAGAATAGACTCTCTTGAATAGAGTCTAATTCTATTGGCTTTCAAAAGCCAATAGGAATTGTCCAGGCTGTCTCTGCTCTGCTGAGCCCGCCAAAAGTGCCATTCTGCAAACGGTGCTACACCAGTTGAGTAATCCTCGACTTACGACCGGTTGAGTAGTCCTCGACTTACGACCGGTTGGGGGTCGCGGCATTAAAAAGGTTGAGAACCACTGGCTTAAAGGAATCTAACCCCAGTCAGTGCCAGAGCTTTGTAGTTGTGAATTTACAGCTTGTCTCTTGGAACATGGATTCAAGTCCAACACAATTGGAAAAATACAAGGCATTGCACATAAGAACGTGTTGGTTCTTGAAACAATACATTGGCTTCCTCACAGAATCAACAAAGCTTTGCTGCATGATTGAAGAACCATTTTCTGGTTTGGATGTATGTTTAAGGTATCATGTTATCAAATACAAGCAGTCACTGTCATCAGAAGCACTACAAAAAATATAAATCTTCCTTTGGCTATATATGGGTGTGTGTGTGTGTAACACACTAATCCATAAGACTTTCAGTCATGTGAAAAATGATCATAAGTCACTTTTTTTCAGTGCTGTTGTAACTTCGAATAGTCACTAAATGAACAGTTGTAAGTCAAAGACTATCTGTATGTATCATATGGGAAAATTGTGCATGAATTATTGCAAACTACTGGGGCAATTAAGTAGCGCAGCTCTGCCTCATAATTTAGGCAGAAAAGCATGACATAAATCATTCTTTGTTTCCCTTACAAAACGTTAATTTTGGCCTAAAATCATGTTTTATGTCATAGCATTCCTTTTAAATGTTCTGTTTTAGAGGTGGAAAGTATCACTACACTTTTTATCTACAGACCCTTTAAGATTATCCCCATTTCTGTTTTTAAAGGCATGGAAAATATTTTTAGTTTCTTTAAATATATTTATTTATTTAGTAAACAAATTTTATGGCTGCCTAAATCACACATAGATTGAATGGCTTACAAATATGAAAGATCACCAACAAACTACTTGCTTTTAGCAAGTAGGACAGTATTCTGTAAGCTTACCACGCTGAGAAAGCTTTTATTGATTGACATGTAATCTTTCAAGCTGTTCACTGCCTTTATGTTCTGGTTTCCATTGTTGTAAAACCAAGTTAAAAAACAGGGGACTATTTCAGTAATTACTAAGATGTCATTCAAATTTGTAGGGTAAGAATGGCAGTTTTAACTTAATTGTTCTTGAAATTCAATGTTACCTAAATATAAATATATATAGAAAATTCTACTGATATTGTTCTTATTTTTCACTGGAATATTAAGTTTGCAGTTAATCTTAACTTGATATTTATTGGCATTTTGATTGAGAGAAGGAATTTTAATTTAATTTAATGAAGTTTATTTTTCAAATGACTATTGCCAAATCTTTTCACTTCACCTTACTTAAAGAACTTATAAATGTAAATAAATACATTAAATAAATACATTAAAATGGTTTATTATTTTGTAATATGTGACATATTGTTATGTGCAAGTTGAAAATGATTTTAATGTTTTTCTTTTAATCAACCATTTTTCAGGCATATGTAGTGTTCATTTCCACATTAGGAGGAGAATGGCTTGAGAGGAATTTTTCTGCTTTGCTTTCCCATATTCTGGATCTCGTCTCTCAGTCTCACCCTAAGGCTATTCAGACACAAATGGACAGTATCTGTAGCCGCCGTTGTATTTCATTTATCCTCCGAGCTACAGTAGGAGGCCTTCTTGGGGAAAAAGCTCGAATTGCAACTGCCAAGGAAATTTGTCAAGCCATCTGGAAACTGAAGAAAGTTATGGGTATGGGACTAACAAGATTATTTGCTAACCCTCCCTTTGTCACCTTCCGTTCCAGCAATGCTTTAATCATTTCCTAATCTAGTCATACACTAATTTAATCCCACACACAAACCAAGTCTCTCTGTGGGTTTTAAAAATAATTTTTAAGCTTAAAATTTCCTGAATTTTTCCCGTGATTTAGTTTTACATAAATATGTGGAAAGTAGATATGGCAGCTGATTATAGCCTTAACAGCACAACTTTATATTATACATAACTAACATGTATATCTGATGATGGAATCACAGACACAACATTCTCACTAATTACGAGCTTTCCTGTTGCATTTAGCAAGTAACGCTGAAATTAAATGATCCCATTCATCTTGCCCAGTTTGGAAGATTTGCTGAAATCTAGATGATGTAACCAGGAAAGTTTGCTGAATCTGATCCGACTTAATGTAGCTTACTCAGGCAGCACAAGAAGGTCAAAAAAGATCAATTAATGGAAACTGCTTATTATTGCAGCCAGATTCTACAATCATGATTCTGTAGTGGCTATTGTTGTACAACTATTAATACCATGATCATAAAGTTTAGCTTTTTTAAAAAGGTAAGTTGTTGCAGTCTTATTTGTTATCTTAATTTTGCAGATGATAGATGGAAATTACAATTATTATCCAATAACTTATTTGTGGTTTACAATATATCTAGTCTTAAAGTATAACCCTCTAGCTCTTTTCCTGGAGTCTCATTTTGTATGTATCAGACACCTATCCCTGTCTTTTATTCATTTCTTTTATTAACATAACATTTTCTATTGCCAGATGCTGCAGTGAGTAACTGTAATGTCGAAACCCATATTGGTACAACAGAGGTAATAGCAAACCAGCATATGTTAATATGTGCTCTAGAAGAGCTTGGAAACCTCATATATGGCTTAGGTACTACAGCTGCACCTGTTCTGCAAGATTCTAGTATAGGTAAATACCCTTATAGAGTCTTAAGCTACAGGATAAATAAAACAAAAATGAGTGTAGTACCACAAACTGCTTCAGGATGTATTGTACAAAAAGAGGATGTTCAAATAATTCCAGGATATTCAAATAATTCCAGTCTTTAATGTTAAAATATTTTGGATAGCTTCTGAATCATCACAGATCATTATCAGAAATCTATTGGGAATATGTTGTTTGGATCAGTTATTAGTTTAGCGATGAGGGGGAAGACTGCATTTTTATATCATGTTGAGGTTTCAGAATGTTTCACAGAGCTATATAAGGACTGTGTCACAATGAAACAGTAGTTAGTCTAACTTAGCTAATTTCATTAAAAAGCCAAGAATATTGTACCCGATTAGTAATGGGAGACAAGCAAGAAATCCCGGACTAGGTGAATTAAGAAGCTGAATAATTTCCTGAGGGAAAGCTTTAATAAACCATTTTTTATGATCTTGCCAAGAAAACAATATAAATGTGTCTAGGTAATTACCAAGAAGCACCTCAACTGAAAGGAAGTTTTACATACAATTAAAGCCACAGTTCTGTGTCATCCTCATCCTGATTCACTAACTGCAGAATTCTTGGGAACACTTTTTAAGAGATGTTCGTATAAAATGGCAGTTTTGCTGCTTTACCCTTCTTTTTTTCAATACATGCTACAAATACTCTCTAAGGCTGCTGATGACCTAGTCAGGAACAAGAATCTGCCTAGCTCTTCTTGGCATGCCTCCTGTCCTGTCACTTGTCATTGCCCCCAGTGTCCATTTTGGCTTAAGAGAACCTGGACACCTGGTTTGCACTAAGTAGCTTCTTTATTTTTATCAGTCTCTCAGAAAATTCTGACAATTCTTTTTTTTTTTTTTTTTAGTTTACAGTGGACAAAGGGCAAGGGCAAAAAAGTGGAAGCTCTGTTGATTTACTGTCTCAGTAAGCATTCTCATATGAGTTTCTAATCTTGTAATATGTTTGATTTTCCAGGAGTCCTGGATGCAGTAATCTCCATTCTTCTTCATCCCTGCATTTCAGTTCAGCTAGCAGCAGCATGGTGCTTACGATGTATTGCTGTAGCATTACCCTGCTATCTCTCTCCATTTCTGGATACCTGTATTGAGCGCCTGACGGCAATGAAATCCTCCCCAGAAGCAGTGACTGGCTATAGTTTTGCCATTGCTGCTTTGTTAGGAGCTGTCAGGGAATGTCCTTTAGGAATTCCGCACGGTAAAGGGAAGGTGAGTATTAGAACAGTATGTCTGGTATTCATTGCATTTGACAATTATTTTTGTCACTTCCGTGCAGCTAGAATACTTATTTAAATAATGTGATGCTATTATTTTGATAAATGAATTATTTGTTTTATGTTCCTTAATTTTTTTAATTGCTGTATCAAATTCTACAGAGAAAACCTGTTTATGATAAAGGTTCTGTATTCAGAAACATGTAACATTTCACATATTGTAGCTCAATTAGTTCAGTTTTACAAATTGTGTTTTCACAGCGTGAATGAACTAATCGTAAATATGTTAATAAGGAAACTCTTAGTGCTCTTTAGTTATTCCATCTGTATAGTAGTCATGTGTGAAACATTTGCAAGAGGTGATGTGTAGAATGTGTCAGAATGAAATAGTCCCCCTCAAAACATTAACATTTGTTTTGAAAGAGAATGCAAAGGCAAAACTTCTACTGGGTTCCTAATCAAGTGCAGATAGTCCTTTACTTACATCTGAAGTTACAGAAACTGCATTTTGGATGCTTGTCAACTAGCCCATATGTACAGTGTCTCTTGATTACATGACCATGATTTACTACATTTTTGCTGAAAACCTGCTGTTATTTCTGGGGTTTGGCAAAAATGCCCAATGGGTTCACTTATCAATTATGGATTCATTTAACAACCATGGCGATTCGCTTAATGAATGACATAAGATCCTAAAATTGGGTTGGTCACATGATGACCTATTTTATGACCATTGTGACTTACAACTATAATAAATTGGCACCATTTGGTTATAAGGACTATGTGTAAAGTGATTGTAAAAGTATATACACATGCAAGTACACAGGGACAGCAATTGAAAGAGCCAGGCAAACCTGAGATTTGGAGTGAATAAAGCAATAAAGTGAATAAAGCAAGTGACAATGTGTGTATAAAAGGGTTAGGTTAGATCAAGGGCAACCTCGGCTCTTTTATGACTCATGGACTTCAACTCCCAGAATTCCTGAGTCAGCATAAAAGAGCCGAGGTTGCCTGCCCCTGGGTTAGATAAACAAAACAAGGGTTTGTAGCACCCAATAATTCCATTGTGCTGATCTATTTAATACAGAATTAAACCTTGCCATAAACCTTGCTGTACTGAAAATACTCGAGCTGGCTGAAGATAATTTTGTTTGATTTTAACTCTGTCTGAAAACAAACATAAACAAATCACAAATTGTGATTTTTGTCTCTGCACGATGTGAGTTGATGGCTATTGTGTCTTATCCAACAAATCCTGGTTAAAACAAATCATATCCAATTAAGATTTATAAACCCAGGCAATGCATAGCATGCTTACTGGTTGTAGAGGACAATTTCACTGTATCAGAGGAAGTAGAGCCTAGCTCAGGGCTTTTCAACCTTTTCACCCATTGTACCACTTTTAGGATATGGCAACATCCGAGTACCATCAGTCGCCTAGCTTGATGACCAAAAAAAAAAAAAAAAAAGGAAAAAAGTGATAAAGTACAGGTAGTCCTCGACTTACAACAGTTCGCTTAGTGACTGTTTGAAGTTACAGTGGCACTGAAAAAAGTGCCCCCCAAGCCACAGTCGAGCAAGACATCTGCCTGCCCGCCCGGCAGCGCTCTTCCTCCTGTCCGAAGTTTTCATTGTTGTGAGCATTTCTGTTGAGGATTGGCAGCGGGGGTGGGGTGGGGGGGTGTTTGGTTTTTATTCCCCCCATTTGCTGGGTGGTTGTAGCAGGTTTTGGTCACTTCACATGACCTTGGGACACTGTGACCGTCATAAATATGAATCAGTTGCCAAGCATCTGAATGTAAATCACAAGACCCTGGAGATGCTGCAACATTCCAGTTGATCGGCGCTTCTTCTGGGCTCAGCAGAAGCGCCAGGATCAGTGCTGCTTTCCAGCTGATTGGTGCTTCTTCAGGGCTCAGCAGAAGCACCAGGATCAGCGCGGAGCTCCAGCTGGAGCCTGGCACTGATTCTGGCGCTTCCACTGAGCCCTGATAGCCCCAAAGAAGCACCAATCAGCTGGAAAGCAGCACTGATCCCGGTGCTTCTGCTGAGCCCTGACAGCCCTGCAGCTCCAGCCATCTCGTTCAGGCTTGTGAGGTGCTGCCAATGGTTCAGCTCATTCCCCTCCCCCGCTACCACTTTTCTAGGATGGTCGCGTACCACCTGCCAGGTGCCAATGTACCACAGGTAGTACCCATACCACTGGTTGAAAAGCCCTGGCCTAGCTCACAAAAAGTTATGCCACACAACATATTATCATCTTCAGTTTTATGCTCAAAAGGAATAACTATTCCATGTATTTTATTTACATGAGAAAGTTAACTTGTGGGCCATGACATATGCAGAAGTAGTGTATATGCTTCTCTTCATAAGAATTTAATTTTGTATTTCATCTCTTGAAATAGTGAAGATTTCTGTTTTCATATAGGTTGTCATGATGGTAGCTGAGGATCTTTTGCGTTCGGCTTCTCAGAATAGTCGAATTTCAGTACAAAGAATGCAGTCAGGTTGGCTTTTGATAGCTGCTTTAATGACATTAGGTAAGATTGTTCACTTATATGTCTTTATTTCTTTTCAGCTGAAAAATTGACCACTTTTGTACTTCTTGTCTGATGTCACTGTTTCAATATATATGAACAAGTTCTAATTGTTTCATAGCTGTAAAAATATAGTTAACTTAAATTATTACTTCCTTGTCATAATATGGAATTATCTTTTCCAGTATAACAAATACACAAACTATATCAATAGCATTTATGTTATATATGAATAATAAGCGAACAACCACACTTTTGAGGGTGAAGTAAACAGTTTTAAAAACAAATATGAATATGTGGATTAGAGATAATTTTGGCTTTCTCTCCAACCCTTGCAGAACATTCATGTAACATGGGACTATAACATATTGTTTTCCAAAATGTAGAACATGAGAACAATACAGAGGAGAATTTTAATCCTGATTGGGATGTTAGGGTAGTTTTTTGAACTCCAATGATAGGGCAATTGAAGAATAACCAATGATCTTCATTTTCTTCTTGTATAGCTAATACAGTTAATCTTTACAACGACTCATCAGCAATTGTTCAAAGTTATGACAGCATTGAACAAGGGGGACTTACAACTTGTCCTTGAAGTTCCCGCTGTCACAGTGTCCCCATTGTCACATGATTGCAATCCAGGCACTCAGTGTGTGGCTCGTGATCATGTTAGCATAATCACATGTTACCTGCTGGCTTCGCTCATAAAAAGTCAATGGGGAATGGGGAAGTCAACAGGAAGTCAGAAGTCATTCCCATTATTTTTTGTCATAATAACTGCCCATGTTGTCCTTACCTCCCTGCAGCACCTGTGCATCTGCCTCGGCACCTTAGCACCTCCTCTGGCACCTGTACAATCCCCAGCCTCTTGCCTGGGCCTCTTTCTTAACAACCCACAAAGTTCTGGGGTTACAGTGGCAATCAGAACTGCCAAGATTGCTGTCGCTAAGCAGTGCAGTCACATGATGTTGCACTTTATGACCACATTGCTTAGTGATGGAAATTCCGGTTCCAATTGCTTTCATAACCAAGGACTATCTGTACCTGATTATATAATCATTCATAGTAGATGAAATCAGTGTTTCATAGATAAAATATTTTCACACATCGGAACATTTCCACTTTCCCCTTTGCAATTTCTCATACCCATCAAAGTTTGCTTCAAAAGGTCCCTTCACTTTTCAGAGTATTTTGCAAGGGCACACGAGAGCTTCAGGATGAAGAGGGAATAAAAGACTTTCATTAAAGAAAATGTTTCTGTCAATACCACCTCCCAAAAAAGAAAATCAACATTTCCAATCTTAAAAATAATAGGTCCTGCTGTGGTCCAGCATCATCTTCCTAGAGTGTTGTTGTTATGGAAATGTGCATTTCCAGTATCTCCTAAAGACTTAGAAACTGAGAAGAACCGTGGTGATTCATTTACCTGGCAAGTGACACTGGAAAGCCGAGCAGGTGCTCTCTGTGGTGGGTGAAAATCGTGGCTCTTTATACTTTCATTCTTTTTGAACATTCAGAAGTCATAGTAATAAAAGTAAAGAATGGTCTTTTTTTGTGTCTTTTTTTCTTCATTGATTTCCAATTCCAGGTCCAGGTCTTTATATAACATATTTTACACATAAATTCCTAGACTATGCAGTAATTGTAGCTGGTTGCAAGTATAAAATTGTATTTATTGCTATATTACATGCGGACATTTGGTGAATAAGAGAGGTACTAACTACTAATTAATACTAACCTTGCAGATTAACATTTGACTTAATGCTCTGATATATTAATTAGACCATCAGACTGTTTATTCATTATTCAAGCATTGGAGATAATCTATCTCTTTCACTACTTCTGACTGAAAAGTAGTGAACATCTGACTACATATTTAAGTATGTAGAATAGCTATCCTTTATATTCCATAGTACAACAGTATTATTTGTTACTTTATAATTGCATGCATTTATATATCATCCATCTCTCAAGACTGTTCCAGATATATCAATTAAGTATAATTTATTATAACATTCTTATTATTTTTTCTACTTCTTTCTATAACACAATAAGATTGTATTATGATTTGTGTATATAGACTGATATGCAATCAATATGCTTTATTCTCAGCTGTCAAAAGCTTTATTCTCTATTGTGGGGGACTGCTTACAGATGAAGTGATTCAAAGACTGCTTCCTCCTGTGCCCTGTGCTGTTGATTTACTGACACGGTAAACAATAATATTTTTATTTTCATCCTCAATTAACATGAAGTAGCATTCAGTGATAAAATTACAGCCATCCCATTGTTATAGTCTAGTCTACATAATATGATAACTAAGATTTAAGACTTAATTTACTAAAGGAAACTATAAAAGCATGATATTATTAAGATTGTAAGATGAATATTATGAAGATAAGAATGAGTACAGTATAGTATAATTTATATAAAGTGAATGTTTATATATAGTTAAGGCTGAAAAAGGAATCTTGCAACCAGTCCTAAAATTTGCAACCATCACAGCATCCTCATAGTTAATGTCACTGTGATTCTGGCACATATTTATGATGGTATCCCACTGTTGCTTGACCATGATTTGTGTCCTTCACAGCTGGCTTTTGACAGGCAGAAATCAATGTGGAAGCCAGCAGAAAGTCACAAGTCATGATCAGGTGACATCGCACTTAGTGACCTGCCGTGATTCACTTATGACTGTAACTGACAAACTGACATAGCTCTGGCATAGTCACGTGATTTTACTTTACAACTGCATTGTTTATTGATGGAGTTGCCAATCCCAATTGTGGCTGATAAGTGACTGCTATCTGCAGCCACTTTAGTTTTAAAGACAGTGGTCATACGCATGTGTGGGTTTATCAGGATTAATACAGTGAACTGGACTGAAAGGGGGAAAGGCACAGGGAATAAAGAGGATGACCTTGAAGGACTGAGGCAGCAGTCAATAAATGAAACTTGAGCCCAGATCAAGGATGTAATTTGCAAAAATGCCTCTAGTAGCCCCTCACCCACACTCTTCTCCTGAAAACAAAAGACGCAGGAAAGGTAGCATGAACAAGATTCTGTTATTATAACTGTTCTAATAAAAGTATTTTTAGATCTATTTCTTAGTCCTTATAGGGCTGACAAAAGGTGATCTGGAGTACATATGGAGTGTGCATTGTATCTGTTGGCACCACCTTAAATCCTGAGTGTTTTCTTGGATCAGGTGCTAGCTATTGCTGAGCAAGCGAAGGAAAGGCTACAGTTTCTTTAAGGGAATTATCTTCCTTGCTCTGAATTACCTTTTTCCATGGGTATGAAATCAGTAGCAGATTTATTTATTATACAGGCTGCCCATTTTACATATATGACTCTAAATTAATTGAACAGCTTTTATTGTTAACAGTAGGATTTTTTTTTAACCTTTAAAGGCTTCCTTCACTAAATAAAATGTATGGCAGTGCTTTAAAATTATCATCAGTGACATATAGGAACAGACTTTATGAACTGCTTGCTTTGTTGCCTCCCAAGAGTTATGAAGGTATGTATACTTCTTCTCAAAATATTTCTAAAGACTTCCCTCAATCTTGTCTTGCTGTAATAACAAAAGGACAAGTAAAGCATTGTAACACAGAATATAATTAATTTGTATGTAAGAGAAAGACTTAACAGAGAATGATATTTTAAAAACCTGTACCAAATAAATTCCATGCATAATACTAGTAAAAAATAGAGACAGAAAGAGCATAATTTGAATAAAGGTTAAGATTTTAAAAAGCAGTGTATTGTATTCAAGAAGGGATAAAAATGCTGATATCCTTTATAAATTCAGGCATGACAACAGAGCATAAATGGTGTGCATTATAATTCAGAATCTAACTGATCATGTGACCTTTTTGCTCTATGGTTCTTCCTCTGCTTTTTTGTTTTCAGTATTTTTATTTGGTACATAGAGACTGTAGATGTATCCCTTTGTGCAGTGAAATTCAGAAATAAAGGTATTGCTGTAACACTGAGTAACAGACATTAGACCACACAGCAGTTCAACATTTCTAATCATGTGACCTTTTTGCTCTATGGTTCTTCCTCTGCTTTTTTGTTTTCAGTATTTTTATTTGGTACATAGAGACTGTAGATGTATCCCTTTGTGCAGTGAAATTCAGAAATAAAGGTATTGCTGTAACACTGAGTAACAGACATTAGACCACACAGCAGTTCAACATTTCTAATCTTAGGCTGTCCCTCAAAGTCAATTTAAACTGCAGGGTAAACAATTAAAAATATACAACTATTCTTACTGTAATAACCAAGAGTTTTCTGTTTTTCATAACTAATTTGTAGTTTTCTCCTATGACATAATGTATTATAAGGCATTGTAATGGAAGTAGTGTATTACAGGCTAACATATTTCTTTTTTGTTTCTATTATACTCCCGTCTCTATTAAATTCTACATAGTTAGAACCATGAACTATATTTTCCTATTTTAATTTCAGGTAGACTACCCAGTCACTGAAAATGAAAAGAAATTCCAGCTGTAAAAAATAGTTCTCTTGATATTTCTAATCTTGAATCTAGTGTTTCACCAGGGTTTCAATCTTTCAATATCAAATTTATTTCAAAAGACGTAATGTTTGGTACTGCCAAATCTATTTTCTAATAAATAGACAAAAAGAAAATACTTTTAAGTTATTATTGTGTTCAAAAGAATTTTTGCTCTACTGCAATAATTTCTGGAAGAAATAAATTCTTCAGCTTTTCTTTCTAACACTTGATTGTGATATGCTACATTCTTGTTTTAGAAAGCCTTTCATTTTTTGGCATAGAATATTTCATTTGAGATTGTTAAAATCATTCAGGTTTATGATCCACCAATCCACACATTTATCAGAAATCACATGACCTATTTCTGGTCCTTAAAATACTGTTGCAGTGGTATATTTGGGTACCAGCTATGCATTAAAAAACATTTCCTTTCATTTCTAAAATTACAGGAAGTTTTTCTGCTGTTCTTAAAGAACTAGTGCAAGACTTGACTCAATTTGATAACCAGGCAGCCGTCTCTGCTGCGTATCTTCCGCCCTTTTCCCACCACTGCGAACTTGCCTTATTTGATCCGTTACTGCGGGAGACAGAACACAGATTTATTGAAGAGCAGGTACTATATTTTAGTGGTTATTTATGCACACAGAGGACAAAAACCATGTCCTGCAATATCAATTGTATTTCTTCTGTCTTTGCAGTTATTCTTAGTTAACAATACAGCTGGGGGAAGCTTGGAGTTTGACCCATTTGCAATCTATGAGAAGGCTGGGCATGGAGATTCAGTGCCTAAGCCTTTGTCTCCAACTTCATCCATTATCAGTGCATCAACCCGTCTTTTTGGAGTGATATTTTCACAAGTAACAGAAACACAAAGGTAAAGAGAGTACAGTTGAGATTAGTTACTCATGGGAAATAGATTATTTTTCAAAAGCATGCATTTTATCTAAATATTCTTTTTTGCCTTATGAACTAAATCATGATAGGAATTGTCTGTCTTAATTTATATACTATGTGTGTATGTACATACGTATTATGGGGCCAAGAGTTTCCCTCTGAGCAGTATAGCAGTGTGCTGAGTGTTAGGTGAGAGTAATTATGCTCCTAAGAAAGCTGGTTGGATTGTCAGTAGTGGAGTTGTATAAAATAATGTCATAGACCTGCACTTTTTATATGAACTGGTTTTATTGTATAATATTTGCAAAGACTGGAATATGAATATGAATCTGAAAAGTGCTGTATTGTGTTTATTGCATAGATCTTCTTAACAACTCTGTATTCAGTTAGTAATCTTCTCATATGGTAGTTGAGAGATTGTTAAAAAAACTTTGTTTATATTCAACATAAATATGATTTGAAATAAATTGTAGATGCAACTTTATCAACATGTGTGTGTTTTTTAATTAAAAAGCTCTGACATGTTTCCCAAGTTTTCTTAATTTCCTCAAGCCACAAATCCCTGGATTATGGGTATAAGAAACGCGCTGAAATATACTGTATGTGTGCCACAGTAGCTGTTTGAATTTTTTTGAGAGGCAATGATAACTTTGACAAAGAAATATAGAGAAATATGAAGAGAGAATTTAGAGATTAACACTAAGAAATAAACAGCTTTCTGCTGAGCCATATTATATAGACTTTACAGTATATGAAACAGAGCCTTTACAGTATATGAAATGGGAGAAAGGCTAATTATTCAATTTCCTCTTGACTTTGCATGTGTTTAAGGCTGCAAGTGCTGGAACAGTTATTGGCATCCATAAAACAAACCAAAGGATCACGGCAACAGATAATACAGAAAAATATTATATCAGCAATTTGCAGTGTCCTAAAGGTAAGAGCCTCCCTTCAGTTTATTATGAAAGTCAATGATATCTACCATAATCATTTAAGGGGAATCTGAAAGCAAGTTTGCTGTCTTTTCCTTGAAATTACTACTGAATCTTGTTGTCTGTTTTATCTATTACTGAAAAAATGTAATTTAAAAAACAAGTAGATGAATTCAGCTACTGTTATATCTTTGTTGTGCTTCCAAAGTTGAGTCTGTTGAATGGCATCTATAGCTAGATGATATTTATTTCATTTTCGAAGGTATTTATTTTCATACATAACACTAATGCTTGTTTGCTCTTCAAATAAAAGGTGAACCATCTTGAATGGTTTAGCATTATAAATGAATGCAGGCTTGGTTTAATATAACATGCATAAAATACATCATATCAAGAGTCAATGCATTTTCTGCTCCCCTAAAAACTTCATTATAATTTTAAGGTCATCTGAAAGAAGTTCTAAGTGTTATTTCAACAGACTACTATATATTAAATAACTTGAACTTGCCTTGCTTTGATGTTAAACACTGTCTTCACAATGTGTTGCTTTAGATGATGTAATAAAGTACTACTCCTTTTCATTAATGACACAAACTTCTGAAAACCTTTTAACTACAAGAGTGAATGAGGACAATATGCATGTTCGCAGATAACCTATGGCTCTTTTATCTCAAGCATTTTATGCTAAACAAATAATTTAGTATAAATTTAGTGTAGCATTCCGGAACCACTGATTGGTTCAAAATTGGGAAAGGAATCCAGCAAGGCTGTATTCTGTCACCCTGCCTATTTAACTTATATGCAGAGCACATCATGAGAAAGGCAGGGCTAGATGAATCAAAACTTGGAACTAAGATTGCCGGGAGAAATATCAACAACCTAAGATATGCAGATGATACCACTCTAATGGCAGAAAGTGAAGAGTCTCTTGATGCGGGTGAAGAAGGAGTGCAAAAGTTGGCCTGAAGCTCAACATTAAGAAAACCAAGATCATGGCATCCAGCCCTCTCTATTTCTGGCAAATAGATGGGGAAGAAATGGAGGTAGTGAGAGATTTTATCTTCCTGGGCTCCAAGATCACCACAGATGGGGACTGCAGCCAAGAAATTAAAAGATGCTTGCTCCTGGTGAGGAAAGCTATGGCAAATCTAGACAGCATACTAAAAAGCAGAGATATCACCCTGCCAACAAAAGTATGTATAGTCATGGCCATGGTTTTCCCAATTGCAGTGTATGGCTGTGAAAGTTGGACCATAAGAAAGGCTGAGCGCAAAAGAATTGAGTCCTTTGAACTATGGTGCTGGAGAAGACTCCTGCGAGTCCCCTGGACTGCAAGGCGATCAAACCGGACAGTCCTAGAGGAGATCAACCTTGACTGCTCTTCACAAGGCCAGATCCTGAAGTTGAAACTTAAGTACTTTGGCCACCTAATGAGAAGGAAGGACTCACTGGAGAAGAGCCTAATGCTGGGAAAGATTGAGGGCAATAGAAGAAAGGGACAGCAGAGAATGAGGTGGCTGGATGGAGTCACTGAAGCAGTAGGCATGAGCTTAAATGGACTCCAGAAGATGGTAGAGGACAGGAAGACCTGGAGGAACGTTGTCCATGGGGTCGCGATGGGTCGGACACGACTTTGCAACTAGCAACAAAAAGTGTAGCATTCAATCCACTTGCAGTATATTGCCTCTCCTTAATAATTCTTAGCTTCTGGTTCTATTCTCCATATTATGTAATATTACCAGAATTATGTGAGCCTTGGATCCTGAGGATAAAAAGGTGACTGTACATTTCAATAAATAGTGATACTGTTGTAGAATAGCCATTTGTTGAATTGTAATGGAGAAATCTGAGATAATAGAAGATATCACTTTGTTCTATGCTTTATAAAGCCTAAAGAAGGCTATGTTCATGTAGCTGTAGATATTTTAGATTGAGAATGTAATTTGGCATCTAGGATCAACATAATTTGGCATCTAGTATCAAGAAGAAATTATAGCCTGCCTATAATTTTATCTTCCCAGACATAACTGAAGAATTAATTTCCCTTTAGCCTTAAAGTATTTGTCTACATATTTTTAGTTATTGGGGATCTTCTTTAGTAGAGAAGAACAGTAGAATAATAATAAATGTAGTTTTTATATAATCCCTCGAGAGTTCTATCGGAAACAGTAGTAGTTTTTGATGTTCTTTTAAAATCTTCCCAAGATAGAGTTTACTTTGAATCTACTATGTAATTATACCGATTTCTTTAAAAGCCTATTATGGCTTTTTGTAATGCTTATGCTTTTAAACTTCATGTTGCGAGCTGCTCTAAGAGCATTTGTTCTTGGGCAGAATACAAATATAAAGAAAAGTGTATTGATTTTCATTTCCTCTCCTATTTGCATGTCTGTTGAAAGAAGGAAAATATTTACTGTTCAGTAATGATGTTATTTATAAACTCTTCTATATTCCAGCACTTGGCTAGCCATAAGGGAAATTTAGGTTATGAAGAAATCCAAAGCTGCACCTTGAGCTTGATCCTAAGTGCCTTGGAAAGTAACAGTCCCCTTCTAAGATGTTCTGCTGCTGAAGCCTTAGCCAGACTCGCACAGGTGGTAGCTGATAATACCTTCACTGCTGGATTGGCACAAATTAGCTTTGACAAGTAAGCATTTTCTCATAATATGGTTTTGTTGCATTGTATCAAAAATAGGCACCCCTTTGGGCCTATGTTGGGCCTATCAGGTTGACCAGATTTCAATTCTGAACAGACTTTTTTTAATTTATAAAAAGGAAGTATTTAAGGAGCGGAGGTAGAAAAGCAAACACCTAATACAGTGTGTCTCAACCTTTGGCAACCGTGAGATGTGTAGACTTCAGCTCCCAGAATTCCCCAGCCAACACCTTTCTTTCACACACCTTGTTCTATCTTGTTGTTTTTCTCTTCTGCCCCTCTACAGAATTCACTTCTGCCAGAAATGTTCATTCCATAGTTACATAAGGATTCTCTGTCAGCTGAGAATCACTGCTTCTCTCCTTCATTAGCACTTACACCAAACATCTATAGATGTCAGTTTAGTAAATATAAAGTTCTTCAGAATTCATATCGGAAAACTATACATCAGTAACTTAGCAGTTGAATTGAAATTTGTTTGAAATTTTCTGAAATAAAAAGTATATATCACACAATAAAATGTACAAATTATAATTACAACTACTATAGTCTATATTAGATATATATTATTTGCACGTAACTTCTAAGAAATAAAACATTTCTTTTATATCTCTGAATAATATATTTTCTACTTTGCTTTCCTGGCCCCCCAAAAATACATTGGGGAATTGTTCAAGCAGTCATTAAAATTGCATCATAAAGAGTGGTTTGTTTTTCCTGGCAGCAAAATATTATATCTACAATAATTCTGAACACATTTATTGGGGATAACTTTGAAGATATTAATAATGAGATTTAAGTAAATACAAATAAGAGATCAGTCTAATTTTACTCATATGCATTTCAGTAATTGAAATTTAACTAATGGCATATTCATGATTGGAGGAAGGAATACATTTTTTTAAGTTAGTAATTTGTATAGAAACTATACAAAAATATTGAAGTATTATGGAGTTCCGTTCAGATAGACCAGTGGTTCTCAACCTGTGGGTCGGGACCCCATTTGGGGTCGAACGACCATTTCACGGGGGTCGCCAAACAACGCAGCCCGCCATTTTTTTCCCCTTTTCCTTAGCTGTGCTACTCCCTTTTATTCTATTGGCTTTTGAAAGCCAATAGAATAGACTCTCTTGAATAGAGTCTAATTCTATTGACTTTCAAAAGCCAATAGGAATTGTCCAGGCTGTCTGCCCTGCTGAGCCCGCCAAAAGTCCCATTCTGCAAACGGTGCTGCACCAGTTGAGTAGTCCTTGACTTACGACCGGCTGAGTAGTCCTCGACTTACGACTGGTTGGGGGGTCGCGGCATTAAAAAGGTTGAGAACCATTGAGATAGACCAAATCAAGAAATCTACTCCACAAGATGACTAAAACTACTTTTATTGAGATTAACTATAATAACAAAACCTTGCAAATACTATTCTGTTGTGTTTCCTGCCCTTATGCTTCAATAAATTATGAAGTTTCTATTAGAGCTGCTTACAAATGCTGTTTGTTGTAGGCTTGAAATATTTTTTACTATAGACCTACATATATATCTCCGTCAGGTTTATCATCCTCACTGTACAGAAATCCTGGCTTTATAAACCAAAGCAGTCATAAGAACTCTGGCTGCCAAAATTCAATAGGCTATCTTCCTCTTGAGAACTTCAGAGTTATTACAATTGTGTGATTAATTGGTGATGGTGATGATGATATGAATATAGTCCATTGTTCTCCTGTTCTTCTCTCTTTCCTTCTTTAAGGCCTAAAAATTAAATAGTGATTCTGCAACATCTTTCTAAGTCTGCTGTCTACAGTTCTTAGCATCCTGTTAAGCTTTATAATTCTAACACACTTAGAGGGCATTGGATGTGAGAAGAAGGCTGATTAATAAGTTTTCTGTAGACTTTTGTAATGCTAGACTTCATAATTATAATTGTCATTTTATTTTAATCCAGTTGTCTTATCATTCTTAGGCTAAAATCTGCAAGAGATGTGATATCAAGAACAGGACATTCTTTGGCTCTGGGCTCTCTTTATAAGTATACAGGAGGAATCAGTTCCACTCATCATCTTACTGCATGTGTTGGAATACTTTCTACTTTATCTCAGGATAACACTTCACCTGAAGTACAGGTATGTATTGTAGATAAAGATGATGATGAAGACGATGATGATAAATGTCTAAGTGAAAAAAGCCCTACACACATACACAACACACACACATGTTTCAATGTTTTAAACAATGAAAAAAACAAAGAGCTCATTGTCGGTTTCAGAAAAGGCAGGCACAGCCACACTGTGCATTAATGATTCACCTGTGGAGATGGTTACCAGCATCAAATTCCTGAGTGTGCAATTCACAAGTAGGCTGGCTTGGTCACTCAACAGCGAGATACTGGTGAAGTGGGCACAGCAGCGCCTGCATTTTCTCTGTCACATGAGAAAAGCACATCTTCCTTTCCCTGTCCTTACCACTTTCTACAGAGGGACGATCAAGAGCATTCTGTCATACAGCATCACAGTCTGGTTTGGAAGCATCACTGCTTCAGACAGGAAGGCAGTGCAGAGAGTGGTGAGGATGACAGAAAAGATATTGGCAGTTTCCTTCCTTCCATCCAGGACATAGCATATAAGCGTTGCTTGAGCAGGGTCTGCAAGATTGTCTGGGATATTACACATCCTCTTCATGACCTGTTTTCTTTGTTACCTTCTGGGAGGAGGCTTCGTGGTATCCGAAGCAGAACATCCAGATTCAGTCACAGTTTTGTTCCATACAGTATTAACCTTGTAAACTCTAAAGCTTCCTCCTTCCGTTATGTATTCAAGATGGACAGTGATTAATATTTATATGTTACTTATATGTAAGGGTGTAGATCTATACATATGTTATATATAGTATGTTTAAATGTGTGTTATGTGTGTGTACATTTTGAGAGCAAGCAACTAAATTTCATTTTTAATGTGTGCCATTGTGCCCACAGTAAAAAATGACAATAAAGGTTATCTATCTATACATACACACACACACACACACACACACACACACACACACACAATTCATTTCCTGTTCTATGGAATGAAAATTAACATTTATGTTGTCTTATTCAAAAAATACATTGCAAAATATTATTTGGACTTTTAACATATTTTTATTGTTTTGGTATTTATTGGTGGGATAAAGCCTACTCGTGAGTGATAGCAGAATTGATGGCAGAAAGACTAATCATGAGTGATAAACAATCCTCTGGCAAAGTTTCTGGTGAGCTATCCTTCCTTGTTTTTCCTTCTTTCTATTACCTCTTCCACAATATGGAGAGAGAGGAAAAACAACATGTGCTAGGAATTTGAATCTCAGATAATTAAAAACTATTTATTCCCTGAGTTGATAGTGATACAATTGCTACTGTGATAGACACAGATGTCTCCCACATCTATACTGATGTCAACTTAGGCAGGTGTGAGTACACTGAAGCAAGATGATCTATGCAGAGTAGAGCCCCCAGATGGTTGGACAACCATGGCCTAGATTGTTTTATTCTGTATATGTATTTTACACGTTATACTGTAGTGTGTTGTTGGCATAGTATTTCTCACCATTTCATTGAAATGCTCTTATTTTACACATAACTTTAGTTTTTATCATACTTAGCAAATTATTTCATTTTTTTCCACACCCATTACACATGTTTTGTGTCTGTGTCTGTGTGTGACAACACTACATTTTTGGTATTTTACAGACGTGGGCACTGCATTCTCTGTCACTGATCATTGATTCTGCTGGTCCTTTATATCATGTGCATGTGGAACCTACCCTCTCTCTTGTTCTTATGTTGTTGTTGACTGTGCCTCCTGCTTATACTGAAGTCCATCAAAGCCTTGGTCGCTGTTTAAATGCACTTATAGCCACTTTGGGTCCTGAGTTGCAAGGTATGCATACATTTGTAGCAAATGATAGTTAGGAGCCAAAATAATAATCATTGAGTTAATTTGCTCCCAAAATATGCATGGAAAAAACCATGACAAAAGCTTTAGAGTATTTGTATTTTTACAAAGTCATGCACAATCTTATTTGTCTTTCACTTGAGTTGTGATTTATCTGAGATCTTGAAATAAAGAAATGCTCTTTTTTCCCTCTTAATAGAGAAACTTCTAGTAGCCAACAGTTATTAATAAATTATTATAATTAGGAGAGTGAAGAATAAAAATGATATTTCTCAGATCAGAAGGACTCTGATCAAAGTAATTGTCCTTGTGTTCAAGACAAAGATGGAGTACTGTCTTCTGAACATGCACGCGTGCACACATATACTGTACATAAAGACTAGATTACTAGATTATTTTGTGTAATTATAACTGAGTTGTCTACAAGAAACACTAGTGTTCTCTCACTGCTTATAAAATATTATTCTACATGTGGAGTCCAAAGCTCTGAGCTTTGTTGTTTGTTTGCAGACATTCATTATTCATCTAGGTGACATCATCAGTTTTAGTCAATGTGGAGTTTACTCTTTGTTTAAATACAGTAACTTTTGCCCAGCCATGTTGGTGAGGGTGTGGGTTTTCTCCTCAGTAATTCCTTGTTTTCTGCTTGTTTGTTTCCTGTTAATCCCTGCTTATCTGGGTGTTGAATGCTGGAGAACATGAGTTCTGGTCTTTTTGTTTCCTTCTTAACTTTCTTATTGTCTCTTTTGAGTGCTATATAAAAGTGGTTTATCTGTATGTGCCTGTTGATGGCTGATTTGTCTGAGTGCCTAGCTTCCAGGAATTCCCTAACATTTTTGGACCTAAAATGTTCTCAGTTTCCCAATTGAAACTATGATTGATTCTGCCAACGTGCTGTGAAATTAAGGAGTTCTTGTCCTGTGTTTTGACTGCTAGTTGGTATTCATGGATGTGCTCTGGTTAATAACAACAACAACAACAACAACAACAACAATAATAATAATGATGATGATGATGATGATGTTGGAAGGGACCTTGGAGGTCATCTAGTCCAACCCCCTGCTCAGGCAGGAAACCCTATACCATTTCAGACAAATGGCTCTCCAGTCTCTTCTTAAAGAGCTTTTTTAAAGAGCTTTTCACTAGCACTGATGATATTACCTAGTTGGGTAATAAAATGTCTGCAAGCAAACAACCAAGTTCAGGGAGACCCAAGGAGCCCACAGTTCAATCCTGAACTACATATATTCCCTTCTTTTGATATCCTAGAGGTGCTGTGGAAATAATTGTACATTTTGTTTTAGTAAAGCATGATCTAAATAGATTTTAAAAGCATGTTAATAATTTGAGGAATGTCTTTATTGTAGTTTGGTTTTTACTGTTTTGAAATGTTCTTTGACTAATGAACATTTGCCTTATTTGCCTTATGTGTAGGCAGCAGTGCTGCAGTCTCAGCCTTAAGGGCATCCTGTCTCCTTGGCTGCGCAGTGATGCAAGATCATCCTGACTGCCTCGTCCAGGCTCAAGCTATCTCTTGCCTTCAGCAACTTCACATGTTTGCTCCTCATCACGTAAACCTGTCTAGTCTTGTAAAGTGCCTTTGTGTAAGTATATAATTACACAGCTATATAACTCTATAGTTACATAGGTATGTTATAAATCTTTTTTCAGTGTTATTTGCAACTTTAGAATCAGAATGTTCAGATTAGGGTTTCAAAGAAAAGCGGTTTGTGTACCTAATTCAGCAGAATCTTTTGAAATAATATAATCCATTGCTTTCAGAAATGTGAACATAAACTTTATATTAGCCAAGTCTCATGACTGATTTTAGCACCGTATCACAAAATGACCCTCTACTTTGCACATGTGTATAGTGGTGTATGTGTGTGTGTGTGTGTGTGTGTGTCTGTACGTGTGCACATGCGCGTACCGGTGTCCATGTAAAACATATATGAGAGTTGTTTCCTAGTTGGATGAACTAAATTAGTTCAGCACATTGAGGAGGAAGGTAGGGAAGAGTGCAAAATATTCTGAGAGAGAAGGAATATAATTCCTTACGATATTCCATGACTCTTTCCTGCTTGCCTAAGGACAAGGGTAGGCTTATAGCAGGTCAGCTGGTTTTGGTAGGAGTAGGATTATTATTCTCTGCTGGTTAAAAAGCGGGATGTTAGTTACTTGACTGATCTGCTAACTGACTAGGGAATTAGTTTCTACATTGTTTCCGTCTCCTATTCTCTCTTTTTCTCTCTCTTTTACATATACACACACCACACACATATAAAAACACAATCATACACATATGCATAAGTGCAATGGGAAGAAGACAAAGCCACTTTTCAGTACTGCATTACAAACTCTCCACCAAGCAGTCTGTGAATTTTCACTTCTTAAAGTTGGTGAAATCCTCTTTTTCAGTTCCGCTTCTGGAATTAATTTACCAGTTGGTGAAGGACATTTTGTACCAGTCTCACGAGTAGAGAGAGAAAAAAATTTTTTTAAAAAAAACAGGATCAAGAATTCTGCCAAATATTTCTAAGAAAATACATTTTCTAAATATAAATTTTCAGACATGGAATATATTTTTTTTTGTTTTAATTATTTATTTATTTGTATCTTGCCTTCATTATTTTTACAAATAACTCCAGGTGGCAAAGATATTTAACACATCTTCCTCCTTCTTTTTTCCCCATGAGAACAAACCTGTGAGGTGGGTTGGGCTGAGAGAGAGCACCCAGCTGGCTTTTTAAGCTAAGGCAGGACGAATTCACTGCCTCATGGTTTCTAAGCTGATGCCTCAACCACTATACCAAACTGGCTTAATACATGAGAAATTCAGTGTTCTGATTACGACAAACATTAATTCCATGAAATTGAGTAATTATAATTCAGCAAATTCATACAACAGCCTTCCTGTGAAGTTTTTTTGGGAGGTCGCAGGGTTAAGTATGGTGAAATGTAAATTATTAACAGATTTAAATATGGGAGACAAAACATTCACTCATTTCCTTTAAAAGGTGCTTTAATATCTAGTATACATTTGTTTTTTGTATAAAAAGTTGGCCTGTTGGATAGCAGAAGGAAAATGTTATTAGGTGTTGATATATCTGTATAATCCTATGGGGGAATACAAGGGAGTGGATGCTTCTCAAAGAGGTTTGGAAATAATATAGGTAGTCCTTGACTTACAACCACAATTGAGCTCAAAATTTCTATTGTTAAGCAAGACAGTTGTTAAGTGAGTTTTGCCCCATTTTATGATCTTTCTTGCACTGTTGCTAAGTGAATCACTGCAGTTGGTAACTGTAGTTAATAACAAAGTTATTGCGTGAATCTGGTTTTCCCATTGACTTGTCAGAAGGTTGCAAAAAGTGATCACATGACCGGGGACACTGCAACCATCCTAAATACAAGTCATTTGCCAAGTGTCTGAATTTTCATCATGTGACAATCGAATGCTGCAACAGTCATTTGTGTGAAAAATGCTCATTAGTCACTTTTTTCAGTACCGTTGTAACTTGGAATGGTCACTAAACACACGGTCGTAAGTCAAGGACTACCTGTATTGCCTACACTAGCATGGGAACCAATAGTGAATACTTTTGCCATCACTGCCATTTAAAGCATTGATATTGCGAGTATCAAACTGAAATTAGTGCTTATTGAGCTACAGACTAATTCTGAAGTTAAATAATATTAAGAGAAAAAATATATACTAGTGATTTTAAAATAAGCCTTTGGAGAAGTGATCATCATACTTTTCTACTAAACTTCATGATGATGAGGCTATTTGTTTAGCTCTGGTTTTAGAAAGGTGTAACCGTCAATATTAAATACTTTTGAATGTATTATCCAACATTATAGATGGGAATATAAATTACAGTATATATTATTTCCACCTGATTAAATCTGCCACTGCTGATGTGAAATTGGCCTTTTTATATCTGAAGTCAATGAATTTTCATCATAGGGTGATTTATGTTTTTAATATTAAACAAAAAGTACATAGTCTCCAGTATGGTTTCAAATTAGTACTTAATATTTGGCTTTGAACAACTTTTATAATAGCATTCTTAATTTTAAATAAAATATTAAATAATAAAGCAATAATAAGCAAATATTTTATTACTGCATTATTGAAATAAAGTGATGCAGTAAATTTATTTTGTATTGCTGAAGTCAGGATCACTGGATTCTAATATCTAGCTTTTATCATGACTGGATTATCATTTGTTTTTGTGCAGGAAATCTTGTTGGAAAATTCTGTGTTGGTAGGTCTTTGTGCATTGTTAACACTTCAGCAATGTTCAGTCTCTCTGTGTGTGTGTATTTTAATTTTTTCCTTTATTTCTATAGTTAACCATTAATGAAAAATAAAATATTTTTAGCATGTTGGGTGATGTGTTGTTTGAGCTGAACTAAATTCTCTCTTAACATCTTTTTACTGTAACTGGCATTCTAACTTTGTGTGTAATTTATTTTTACCTTATTTTAATATAGCATATTAAGTGCAAAAGGAGTGAGCTTCAATTGTCTGTATGTGTGTATAATTTCTCTATTGCTTGCTTTTTCTGTGTTATTGTTTGCTTTTTTTCCTTTTTAAAATATGAAGAATGAAATAAATTGGAAATGTGCATTTTGCATTGTCTTGCAGTTGAGCTTTATTTGTTCTGGCTTTTTCATGTAAAAGCAGAAGACTTTTTAAAAAGCATGCCTAAATCTCAACACAGTGAAACATCAGCTTAAATAAATGTATAAAATATTTATGTTTATTTAAATTGTTAATTTTCAGCTTATTGGTATATTTCAGTTTTTAGAAATGTGGGGACATATTTTTGTACGTATTAAGCAACTTCTTTACATTGGGGTGCATGTAACAAAATGTAGAAAATTAAATCACATTTCCTTTGATTATCAAATTGTGATTTTGTAGTACCTCCTCTTAGAGCCTGCTCTAACTCCTTTTGCCTCTCTTTCATGCTAATGATGTCTCAATAACCAGCACTGGTTATTGTTTATTGTCCAAACAGACACCTTTGCATGAGACACTCACCTTAAAGTTATTCATTTTTGACTCTTGCATATCAAAAAGAAAACTAACAGTAATAGTTTCCTATTCACTAGTTGTTTCCTCCATTCTCATTTTCAGCACAAAGGTTCAATCCTGAAGAGTGATAATTTTAATGTTGTTTAGATATTTAGATATTCAGAAAATTGAGTTATTATTACTCAAGAGTATTCCTGAGGATTTATTACATAATTGTCATAAGGTGCCACCTATGTAGGGTAGACAAGGAGGCAATTCTCAGTAGTGGTCCTTGTTATAGGATATAGTACCTTTCCCCCTCCCCCAAGGTACACCTTGGCCCTTCTTTTCTGGATTTTCAAAAGTGGTTGGAAACTGTAGTATTGTATCAGGACTCTGGCCCATTATGAGGACTTGTGAGTGATCCTGTAATATTATATTATGATCTGGCCGCGTAAAATTGGAAGTGTCTTGGCGACGTTTCGACGAAGTCCCATTCGTCACCTTCAGGCTGGTGTTTTCAGCTTCGTGCTTTGAGCAGCAATGTGTGGTCTTAGCTGTTTCTTCCTTTTAACTGCCAGTGGGGGTATGAACTGATTGGGTGGGAGCTTGGCTGTGTTCTGATTGGGTGGAGGTGTTTTCTGAATGGTTAGGAGCTTGGCTGTGCTCTGATTGGCTGGGGGAGTGTTCTGTTTGGTTGTGCTCAGGTTAGTCTGAGTTGCAGAGGGGTTTGAGATTTTGGGCTGCCTTGTTATTTTTTGGCTTCGCGTTCGTGATCGTGCCTCCTCTTCATGGAGGGTGTCAGTTTGCTTCATGTATGGATTGGAGGGGTTTAAAGTGGCTAATGATGCAGCTGTGGTCTGGCTTCTGGTTTGTGGTTGTGCCTCATCATCGGTGTGGCTTTGGGTTTGTTTTTTGCGTGGATGTGTGGTGGTGACTTCCTGTGTGGTTTTTGTGAGTGTGGGTCTGGTATCATTTTTTGTGTTAGGGAGTCGTTTGTCAATAAGGGCGGGTTTCCAAATGGCTGGTAGGCGGGAGGTATCATCTCGCTTGTTCATGCTGTGTAGGCGTTTTTCTATCTCGATGGCTTCTCTAATTATTCTGTTATTAAAATGTTCACTTTTGGCAATGCTTCTGGTAATTTTAAAGTCAATTTCATGTCCTGTGGCTTTTAGGTGTTGGACCAGGGAAGATGTTGGTTCCTCTTTTTTGACTGAGTTCTTATGTTCTTCAATGCGTGCACTTATTCTTCTGTTGGTTTGTCCGATGTATGTGGTGGGACAAGTGGTGCATGGGATTTCGTATACTCCTTGATTTTCTAATTCAATTTTATCTTTGGGGTTTCTAAGGATGGTGGATATTTTTCTGTTTGTGCAGAATGCTGTTTTGATGTTGTGTTTATGGAGGATCTTACTGATTCTGTCTGTGGTGCCTTTTATGTATGGGAGGAGGGCTTTGCCGTTTTCTTGTTCTTTGTCTTGGATTTTAGTGGGGGTTTCTTTTTGGATTAGGTTTGTAATCTTATTTCTATGGAATCCATTGGATGTTAGTACATTGGTGAGAGTGTGTAGTTCGGGTTTTAGGTGTTGTTCGTCAGCTAAGCGTTTTGTTCTGGAGATGAGTGTCTTGGCTACAGAGTTGATCTGTGCTGGGTGGTGGTGTGAGAGAGCGTGCAGATAGCGGTTTGTGTGTGTTTTCTTGTAGAAAGGACACACCAAGAAAAACGGCAAAGATCCTCCATAAACACAACATCAAAACAGCATTCTGCACAAACAGAAAAATATCCACCATCCTTAGAAACCCCAAAGATAAAATTGAATTAGAAAATCAAGGAGTATACGAAATCCCATGCACCACTTGTCCCACCACATACATCGGACAAACCAACAGAAGAATAAGTGCACGCATTGAAGAACATAAGAACTCAGTCAAAAAAGAGGAACCAACATCTTCCCTGGTCCAACACCTTAAAGCCACAGGACATGAAATTGACTTTAAAAATACCAGAACCATTGCCAAAAGTGAACATTTTAATAACAGAATAATCAGAGAAGCCATCGAGATAGAAAAACGCCCACACAGCATGAACAAGCGAGATGATACCTCCCGCCTACCAGCCATTTGGAAACCCGCCCTTATTGACAAACGACTCCCTAACACAAAAAATGATACCAGACCCACACTCACAAAAACCACACAGGATGTCACCACCACACATCCACGCAAAAACAAACCCAAAGCCACACCGATGATGAGGCACGACCACAAACCAGAAGCCAGACCACAGCTGCATCATTAGCCACTTTAAACCCCTCCAATCCATACATGAAGCAAACTGACACCCTCCATGAAGAGGAGGCACGACCACGAACGCGAAGCCAAAAAATAACAAGGCAGCCCAAAATCTCAAACCCCTCTGCAACTCAGACTAACCTGAGCACAACCAAACAGAACACTCCCCCAGCCAATCAGAGCACAGCCAAGCCCCTAACCATTCAGAACACACCTCCACCCAATCAGAACACAGCCAAGCTCCCACCCAATCAGTTCATACCCCCACTGGCAGTTAAAAGGAAGAAACAGCTAAGACCACACATTGCTGCTCAAAGCACGAAGCTGAAAACACCAGCCTGAAGATGACGAATGGGACTTCGTCGAAACGTCGCCAAGACACTTCCAATTTTACGCGGGAGAAAACCCGAACAACCAAAGACCTACATATATATATATATATATATATATATATATATATATATATATATATATATATATATATATATATAACATATGATTTATAAATGCTATTGAAAAAATAAACAAAATAAGAATAGCATTATTGCATTTAAGTTAATTAAATAAAATAATTCATTTCAATAAATTATTTGGTAAATTAATAAATATTAAAAATAATGTTAACACAGCAAGATCAGGTAGCCTATTCTAAAAGGAGAGTTTATGTTGTCCTGTACTTTGATACATATTGTATCCTTTTTTAGGTTTTTTTTTCTTTTTGACACAAATTAAAAATGTAGTAATTTTCATGAACTGTGTATTAAAGTAAAAGTTGTTTAACAGTTAAGGGAGTGTCTATTAAATTTGAACATTCATTAGCTCAAAAATTTATCATATGAGGGCAAAACACACACACACTCGTACATGAAAAAAGCCAGCTTCAATTAATGTTATTTATTCATGCATTTAGCAGTACATGAGAAAACTAACTACACCGTGCTTAACTTTGTTTTTAGCACATGAGAAATGTATAACATATTTATTGGAAGAAAGGAACCTTTCAATTTTAATTTATTCTTGGAGGCATGTTGCCTCTCTGTGAGTTGTGCCTCTCTAATGAGTTGTAAATTGGAGTAATGAGATGGAACTTCCAAGTTCAGAGGAGGAACCAATAAAAGATATCATCAAAACAAGCCCTAAAAACTAATACAGTAACCTGATTTCACGGGTTGACGGTTCTGTTTCCCCAGCTACATCACTCTTCCTTTTTGCCAGCCATAGCTTCTGCTGCTCTTTATCATCATCTAGATTTTTCAGTCACTCCTGATCACTGCAAGACATCATTCTTTGCTGCTTGCTTTTCATTAGCTTTCTGTATTTGGCAATCACTAATTTCAGATCCAGGGTCTTCAGGTCTGCACCCATATAGTAAAACAGGGTTTTTCCCCAACTGTTTGCAAATGTTGATGTTTTTCTAAGCTGTAGTTGAAGGTTGAATATTAGTTTTTAAGATTTGGGCTGGGTATGTATCTTTATTACTTTCATATTCTAATATCACCTTTTTCAAATATCTCTTCCTATTGATTAGTCTGGGATGATTAATGTATTTGGGAGCAAAAATATGCAATTTTATTTTTCAACCATTGTGCACATTTTTAATGCATAAGTAGGAACATCGTTAAGAGTGAGAAGAATCTCAATGCTTTCAGTGATGTTTTCAGTATCTCATTTTGATATCTTCTGACACATAATGACTGAAGAACCAGTGTTGGAAAATGGTGATATAATTATGACTTTTAAAATGTATGTTAAATGACTGTTGATGCCCAACGTCTTACAACAGTCTTGGACAACACAGCTGTTCATCTGCGATGGTAGTTGTAAATCCACCCCACCTTTCATACATATACATGTAGTCCTCAATTACAACCATTTATTTAGTTTCAACAGCACTGGAAAAAAGATTTATGACCATTTTTCATACTTAACGGCCATTGCAGCATTAGTCATGTGATTAAAATTTGAACGCTTGGCAACTGGTTTATATTTATGACGGCTGCAATGTCCTGGAGTCATGTGATCCCCTTTTGCAACCTTTTGACAAGCAAAGTCCCATGGGAAAGCCAGTTTCACTTAACGACCATGTTATTAACTTAACAATTCCAGCGATTCATTTAACATCTGTGGCAAGAAAAGTCATAAAATGGGGCAAAACTCACTTAAAAACTGACTTTCTTAACAAAAGAAACTTTGGGCTCAATTCTGGTCATAAGTCAAGGACTACCAGCATAAATAGATCTAAAAGAACTGCAAAAGAGAGAATCAGAAGAGTTCTAGAACTGGAAACCATCTCAGTTTGTCATTATTGTAGTGATATTGCCAAACCCAGGTTGTTCCTTAAATACCTGGTCTTTTCAGAGTATTGCTGGCTGTTAATAGGTCTGGCTTCCTCCAGCATGGGAAGGCCTGCCCTTCCTTTTCCAGGACAACATGACAAAACTTTCCAGAACAGTGGTTTGTTCAATCAACTCTTTTCTGCCAGAAGCCCACAATTTACAGCAAGTTTTTGGAAAGGACTAATGTAGTACAGTGTTAGATGTAAAATCCCACTTCTGCCTATTGTCCACAGCTGGATAAAAAAAAAAAAAAAAAACAGGAAAAAAATCCACTTTACATTAATACCCTTGTTATCTAAACCACCAGCAGGTAAATTGTCTGATCTTTTTACTGGCTGAGTTTACTTAGAGTAATTCAGTTCAGACTTTGAATCAGATGCTGCCATTTCAGGCTATTTATAGATATTTGTACCTACTAAAAAATACTTCTCAGGGCAGAGCTTTGCTTGCATGTTCTCAGTGAGCTTTAAGCTGCTCAAGCAACTCTGTAAGGACCAACTACATTATGCTAACACCTCTTACAAATGTCCGTGTTCTGTCTTCTGCTGAAACTCACATCTGGCTTTCATTTGATTTTCTTCTTGGTGCATAATGATCTAAGACCGCTGCCGTGGTTTCTTCTCAGTCACTCCTGTGGGCCTTCTGCCATAGCTTCTAGGCACAATTTTCCAAAATCCCCTAATAGTCCTGGAATGTCTCCCCCCCCCCATCTCGTATCTTTGGTGCTTTTGCCCTGCATACCTCTCTCTGGGAGGAAGGTAGAATATATTTTGAACTCTCAGCATAGGAGGGACAGCCTGAAATATTTTACTTCATTAGAAGATCCATCCAAACTTTTTGCATTCTTTGGAAGCAGAAAATAATATTCATGTGGCAAATATCTGTAGCTTAGGTGTAAGATGATAGTGAAGTTCTTCCGAACTTGTGGGTTGGTTTCCGAACAGTTCGTTACCAGCCTCTTTCATTACCAGCATCAGAAGCCTCTCTCTGATGACTCATCACAAGACCCTCACTTGACACAGCCACACCTGAAGCCTTATAAATAGAAGAACACTGACACAGATGTTACCTAGCCTGGTAACGAAATTTTGAAAACCAACCCACAAGCTTGGAGAACGAACCTTCACCCTCATAATATCCATGTGTTATATCTCTTCCAACTGTCCCATTTGTAACATCTTCACAAATCCAAGTTTCCACCAGCAGTTCTCAGGAGGAAAGAAACTTTTTTTTTAGGAGAGAGCAGGAAACAATTGTGTCATTTCTAAGAGAAACAAGGATTCCTGAGGATGAGAAAAAAGTGTTCTGGAATGGAGAAGTTCCTGATTAAAAAAAACATGGAAATGCCCCTACTTTCTGTACTTCTTTGTCAAAAGGAGGTTGGTGAGTGGAAGAGGTGCTTGAAAGCAAAATTCCTTGTCAGCTCCAGGTAATAAAGAAATGGGGGTGAAAGGAAGGGCAGAATACTTTATTGTTTTCTATGACGAGAGATTTGTCATAGGTAGGATGATAAAATAGAGATGTTGTAAGGTGTGATACAGGTGAGGCAGGAACAAGTGGATCCCAGGGTAGAAAGGCCCCTCAGGTAAACTTTATGTCACCTGCCTCCCACTGTGTAAGGACTAAAAAGAATAAGGTAGAGCCAATGATGCTAAGTCCATGCAGCCCAATGCCTGGAGTTTAAAGTCTGGAATATAGATCTAGAAATGCTTCTGAGTTACTTGTTTAAGACATTATACTTCTCTGCATTGAATGTTGTAGGATACAGGTAGCCCTCAACTTAACAACCACAATTGAGCCTCAAATTTCCATTGCTAAGCAAGGCAGTTGTTAAATGAGTTCTGCCCCATTTTACAACCTTTGTCACAATTGTTAAACAAATCAGTGCAGTTGTTAAGGGAATCATGTAGTTGCGAAACAAATCTGGCTTTCCCCATTGATTTTGGCTGTTCTGTCCAGGAAAACACAACTGTCATAAATACATGCCAGTTGCCAAGTGCCTGAATTTTGATCACATGACCATGGGGATGCTGTAACAGTCATAAGCGGTCATAAGTTTTTTTTTCAATGCCATTGTAACAAGTAGTACAAAATGTCACTAAATGAATGGTTGTAAGTCGAGAACTACCTATAGTTGAATCATGCCTGGGAATCTTCTGCCAAGTCTAACCAAGAGCTAATTAAGAGTTCGAAATCTGAAGAGTTACTGTTGAATGTGCCTATGAGTGCCAATAATAAGGATGCCATCTGGTTTATTAAATTTGTTTCTTGTGTACACTTTTCAGGTGAATCTCTCTAGTTCATATCTATTATTGAGACGTGCAGTTCTAGCTTGTTTGCATCAGCTTGTGCAGAGAGAGGCAGTTGAAGTATCTGAACATGCAGTGGTCCTCGCTAAAGACAGTAGAGAAGAATTTACTCCAGGTAATACTGAGCTTTTGAGGTTACTTTTTTTTTTCAGATAGACCATTGCAGTATTTGTATTTTTCACTCTGTATACTGAGGAACACTTCAAACCTGCTCTAAGCAAGCAGCCTATAGTAGTGTTTCTTAATCTCAGCAACTTTAAGTTATATATGCTGGCTGGGCAATTTTAGGTGTTTAAGTCCACATATTTTAAAGTTGCTGAAGTTGAAAAACACTGACATATAGGATTCAATCCATTTGTCACACGAGCTGAAATCCTCTTGGCAACAATCTTTCTTATTTTCCTTCTCATTTCCACTTTTCACTTTTCTAACAGGTTTTCCTTGGAGAATCACTCAACCCCAAAAACAGAAAAATGAAAAAAAAAGAGAATTGCCTGTTCCATTGATAGAAAATATTTTACCAATAGAGAAGAGTATTGGGTTTTACCCATCATAAAATAAACCTTTAACATAGCAGAAATGGTTGATATGATTTCTGCCCGGCATCAGAAACCCACTGTTTATATAAAACAATTGTATTTCAAGAAGAAATATGTGAATTGCTCATTTTGTCTATAGTTCCATCATAGATACTATTCTGGGGCATCCTTCTTATTTACTAGTTTGAAATATATGGGCTATATTATATATGAGGAAGTCAAACCTTTAATTTTTATCTATATTTTCAACAACAACAAAAAATCAGAAACAAGATATTACCAATTTGTAAATTTTGCTGGTTTAAATTAGTGTAACAAATGCATAATTTGTATTTGGCTGGAATCTTTCAATCTGCATGTTTTCCTGCAAAGTATTGACTGATTATGTGATATCATCAATGTCAACTTTTAGCAACCATATAGATAGATCTTCTCCCTGATGATCTGTCGCCAGTCTGGCCCTTAAGATTTTTTAACCGTGCACCCATCATCGCTGTAATCAAGCCCACCACCCTTACTGTTGGTCATCCTTTTCTCCTTCAGCCCAGTATTATGAACTTCTCAAGGGAGCTGTGTCTTCACATTATATCTTCAAAACATGATAATTTGAGTTTGGTTATCTGCAAAATATACTTGTCTGAGTGTGTGAGAGATACATGTATGAGAGAATGAATGAATATTTACCGTAAAAAATGTAAGAGTAATCTCCATATTATATTTTCAAACAAAGGAATGTCTTGCAGGAATACATTTCTCACTTCAAGTTGCAGCCTGGGCTGAAACTTGCATGATTTGTTGAAACAGCAACTTTATCCATGACTTAATTTCTGCTAGAAAATAAATAAAACTAATGGAGTAACTACAGCAGTGGGGAGTTACTGAAAATAAACCACAGTAGCAATAACAAGGATTTATAAAACAATGCTTCATTTAGAATATGTCACCAGTATTAGTGCTGATTTGTGGCCTGATGTTTAGATAAACAGATCAGCATAATCCTATTATTATTTTTCTGAAATATGTGCTTTATGTCTTTGTCATTATCTCGTCTAGATACTAAAAGAAAGATAATGTATGGAGCTGGCATTAATCAAGAAAACACAACCAAACAGCCTCATACAATTTTTAAATATGTCAATTTAAGATATTGTAGTATTTCTAAACAAAGCTGATATTTTTTGATGGTACAGAGTCACATTTTTAAAGAGTTTTTTTAAAAAACAATACTAGGAAATATTTGAGTAATACTTTAGCCAGGTAAGTAGCTAAGGTTCTGCAATTCTTGTTTAATTTTGGGATTATGGATATAAGAAATATTAAATCAGCATTGTCCCAAAGGTGCTATTTCCAACTGGACTTTCTTGGTTTTTTTCCTTTGAAAAGGTTTTTGCTTCTCATCCAAGAGGTTTCTTCCATTTAGAAGCTTCCTTGGATGAGAAGCAAAACATTTTCAAAGAAAAAAAAAACAAGAAAGTTCAGTTGCCTTTTGGAAAAAGCACCTTTGTGATAACCCTGACCTACAGTAGATGATTGAGAATCTCCATAGACTTTAAATCAGCAGCTATCTTCTAAAACAGTATCAAAATTATTTTATTACAGTATGTAATTTCGAAAGCTTTCAATTGCAATAATTCATTGTTTGATTTGTGCTGATCATATTCATTTTTTTTATTTAAAAACGCAGTTGTTAATATAGGTGAAATAGGCCTTGAAGGAGCTTTGCTGAGCTTGTTGGACAAAGAATTGGACCCCAAACTGTGCCAAGATATCAGAGAAACTCTGACTCATATGCTTATATCAATGGCTGTTGGAAAACTCTCCTTTTGGCTGAAACTCTGCAAAGATGTTCTGGCTGCTTCTGCTGGTATGCATACCTTCTGCCCAGAATGGCATCACACTATTTTCATCAGGGAGGAGAATAATCCAATCACAGAAACATAGAGTTCGAAGAGATTTCAGGAGACATTTATTCCAATATCCAATATTTCAAAGGTCTCACAACTAATTTTGGATATAATAAAGTGATTTTGGATATAATGTGATTCATAAAGTCACCTAATTTGGAGGATTATAGAAAGGAAGAAAGAAGCCCTAATTTTTTGGCCACTAGGCACTTGAAATAATGTTTGCCTTTAGCAGCCTGTATGGATGCTAACATCATTATCAAGGGCCCGCTTTTACATGATCCTGGTCTTATCACAAAGACAATGGAATGGTTCTTTTTGAAATGCTATCTAAATGGTGCTAATTTTTTATCGTGAGGCTTCCTAGTATTTTTTATCATCAAAAGAAACAGTTACGTTGTAGGGGAGCATAGCAACTTAAATATCTTTTCCTTTCCTATTCATTTGCCTCTCCATTTCCTGCTTCCTTCCACATCTGGTTGCTTATTCACCCTGACCTTTTCATGGTTATGACTTCACCTTGCTGTTTTAACCGTGTTACTGAGCTCAGTAAACAGTTTGCATTCCACTTTGTGTCTTAATGCAGATTTTACAACTATAGCTTCAGTGGATACAAGCCAAGAAGAAGAGGGTACTCAAGTAGATGATGAATTGGCATTAACGTTGGCAAAGAAGGATAAATTGCACCCATTCCCACATCCCCGATGGTCTACTAGAGTTTTTGCTGCAGAATGTGTTTGTAAAATTATCACCCAGTGTGAGAATGCGGGCAGTGCTCATTTTGACATAGCTTTAGCACAGGAAATGAAACAAAGGGACTCAAGAGGTATGTGCTGATGTTGACTTAAATATCAACTGGAAAATATCATGGAATTCCAAGCACAGATAAATTTAATTTTGATAAATAATCATTTTCATTATCATTTTTATCACAGTTGACAAGAAGTCTGTAAGCTTTTAGATATAAATTGCTACTACTTTGGCTCAATGAAACAATTCTGTTAAATATTAACTGTTGAAGCACTTCTAAAGACAAAGGATGGACTGCCCACCTATTTTGTTACAGGTTATAATTTTTACATTGCGTGATGCATTGTTTATTATTTGTATGTGTTGCTGTCTTTGGACATACATGACAGCTCTATGTATTATATGTGAACTATATTATATGTGAATATATTACTAAGCTGAATGTAGTCTTAACATACAAATCACAGATGTATAGACTCTACACAGACGTTTGATATTTACAATTGTAATTTTTGATTTAGTGGCACAGCCAATTCTAACTTTCAATATAAATGGGTAAGAAAATACCTTACACTGCTGGTAAGCTTTTATATCAATGTACAACTAGATACTTTCAGAAAACACAAAAATGGAATATCATCCATTGGTGATGCTTTGTAAGTGTTGCTATTCAAAACATACTATTCTTAGGACGGCTAGCCCCTGATTTTCCCACTTAAATATTATCAATTCCCTTTTAGTTTTTAAATATGATTCTATATATTTTTATCATGTCTCCCCTTTCCCCTCTTCGTTCTGAATTAAAAATCTCGGACTTTCCTTCTAGGGAATCTGATCAAGACTCCCAATTATTTTGGTTGGCCTGTTTTTGCAATTTTTTCCAGCTCCACACTAGCTCTTCATGATTATCAGAACAATGTGCAATATGCCAAGGATAGGAGGAGAATTGCATTATAAATTTTTGTTGGAGTGCTAGTGTACTATCAGTTGCATTTTTAGTTCCTTTGAAAATGATTCCAAGCATGTCTTTTCTAGCCTGAACCAACACTGCCTTTTCCTGCATTGACCATTGAATCATGTCTTCAAAATCCCTTTTATGATTTAATCCCTTTTTAGCTCAGGGCCCATTAATATGTAAAGTTTGAATTTTTATGTCAATGTACATTGCCATGCCTATATTTATGGGGGGGGGATGTTTAAGCAAATTCACCCAGTTATAAAAGTATACTTTGTAACACTTTGGAATCCCATTTTCATTGCATTATATTACCCTGAACACATTGGTATGATCAATAGAGTTCACTATTATCCATAACTCCAGTTTATAAATTAAAAAATATTGTTTCTACACCAATCTCTAGAAACGTCACCTTGAATATCTCTTCAAGTTTGAAAATTCTCCATTTAGTCCTGCTCTTCTTTTCTTATTATAGGAAAAGAATAGGTAATGGGCATAAATAATTTAAAGTACCAGAATTTAATAACATTAATTTCATTTTATCAAAACAGCATTTCCTTTTTATCTCATACAGATGATTTCTTGGTATTATATTTAGCTGACCTAATTCGTATGGCTTTTATGGCTGCCACTGATCACAGCAACCAACTTCGTCTTTCCGGACTTCAGATGTTGTTAATTCTTATTCGAAAATTTGCTGCTGTAGTAGAGCCAGAATTCCCAGGTCACGTAATACTGGAGCAATACCAAGCCAATGTAAGTAAATCTTGAGAGGAGTTTGCCAAAAAAGAAATATCATATTATGTACTATCGCTTTTTAGTATTTAAGGCAACAGAGAATAACATTTCTAATGTTTTAAAATTGGCTGTTTGATTATATGCCACAAAATGCATGATAAATCTAAATGAGTTTTCTTTGGAAATGTGCTGGTAATTCTATAGCATAAAAATGGATGGATATTTAATCACTGTTATTATTCCACATTCTCTTATAACTATTTTAAGGAAATAAATTAGCATCCTGAAAGAATAGTTATTCAGATGTTAGACTGTGTATCATTTTATCAAACCATTTTTTTTAGGTTGGTGCCGCTCTTAGACCAGCTTTTACACCAGAAGCACCACCTGATGTAACAGCAAAAGCATGTCAGGCAAGTTAATTTGTTTCTCCCCACCGCTTCTCCTGACAACTCCTCCTCCTCCTCCTCCTCCTCCTCCTCTCTTTAAAATGTAAGTGTCAAAGTCTTGGCCAAGTGCAGATAAAACATGATAATGGCAATGATGAAACATTTGTCTCATAAGAACTAGGATCACCAGGTCAGAGAGAGGATTTTTAGGCCACATATTCATATACTTTTCATTGTCTTTATTGCTATTCGTTTTTAGAATTATTTCTAATAACTCCTTTGTTCAGTTCATTTGTAGATGCTATTAGTTTAATCTGCTTAAAGGAATTATAATTATGATTTTATTTTTGCATTACTTATTTATCACATTTAAGAACTACCCATCTCCCTCAGGGAAGGATTATATATTGGAAAACTTTATAATAAATAAATCAAAATGTCTGAACATAAAATAATTTACATGCATGCTCTGTAGCATTACATTAGAAATAACAAGCAATACAGATCAGAGCAAATAACCCATCTAATCCAGCATTTTATAGGCTTGGTAACCAGCTAGATGCCCACAAATAGGACATAAGACAAGAGGATAGCTCCACTCATATTTCAGTAACTAATATAAAAGAGTTTATTGCACTAGAGAAAAAGTAACCACATCATTTGGTATTGTAGGTTTGCAGTGCTTGGATAGCAAGTGGTGTAGTAAATGATCTTAATGACCTTCAAAGAGTTCATCATTTGCTTGTGACATCCTTGACAAAAGTACAGGCTGGAAAAGAAGCACAAAATCAACTATACAATGAAGGGACATCTACTATGGAAATACTCGCTGTACTAAAAGCTTGGGCAGAGGTATTTTTTAACAAAGATGGTTTCATCAGTGCTTTGGAATTAATAGTTATGGAAAAGAACTGTGAATTTAAAAACTGGAATTACAGGTTGATTTCTTTTCAAATTAGGCATTTTACAGTAACTTTCTTAGCTAGAAATTAATGTTAACATAATAACTTTATGAATTAAAGAACTTTTTTTGAGTGAAGTACGTTATCTACTATTTGTTCTCAAGTTGGGATAATAAATGTGTGCTATTTTTAATAGGTTTAAATTTATATAAATTATCTATTATATGCAATAAAATGTGGTTTTGACATTAAACATATGCAGAATATATTACAGCCTTTTATTGGAAACACAATTCTCTTCCCCTTGGTGTACAACAAAAGAATAAGCATTTTTATTATTTTCAGTTTGTTACAGAAGTCCTAGTCCTGCTAACAGAGAAAGCAATATCCTGGATCTTTTCCAATTTTTTTATTCCGGCATTACTTACATCAGTGTTCATTCTTCTAGGGACAGGCTAGAAAAAATAAGAGAAATAGTTGGATTTGTTATATTTTGCTTTGTATGTGTGCCTCCAAGTCAGTGTTAACACCTGATGACTGCCTGGGCAAATTCCTGCAGGTTTTTTTGCAAGTTTTCAGAAATGGTTTGCCATTGCCTGCTTCCTAGATCTTAGAGCAGTGTTTCTCAACCTTGACAATTTTAAGGCATGTGGACTTCAACTCCCAGAATTCCACAGCCAGCATTGCTGGCTGTGGAATTCTGGGAGTTGAAGTCCACATGCCTTAAAATTGTCAAGGTTGAGAAACACTGTCTTAGAGAGAGTGAATGGCCCAAAGTCATTCAGCTGGCTCTGTGCCCATGTCAGGACTAGAACTCACAGTCTCTCTGTTTCTAGCTGGCTGCCTTATATTACACCAATCCAGCTTCTTGCTTTGTCTAGCACACAGGTCAGCAACCTGCGGCTCCGGAGCCGCATGCGGCTCTTTGAGCCTTCCCCTGTGGCTCCCAGCCTCCTCTGCCTTTGCAGAGAGAGACAGAGACAGAGAGAGGCAATTGCACTTCCCTGCTTCTCTCTCTCTCTCTCTCTCTCTCTCTCTCTCTCTCTCTGTGTGTGTGTGTTTTGTGTGTGTGTGTTTTGTGTGTGTGTGTGTGTGTGTATGTGTAAAAGAGAGTGCACTCACAGTGTTCTGCGAGGAGCTGACAAGCTTTCTGGGCGGAGCTCCTCCCTTTGCTGCGTCTCTGCAGGAAGCAGGAAGCAGGAAGGGCAGGAGAGAGCTAGCTAGCCCAGTTAGGCTGACTCAGGAATTCTGGGAGTTGAAGTCCATGAGTCATAAAAGAGACGAGGTTGCCTACCCCGGAGGTTGTTGGACAACAGCTTGAAGCTTGCCAGGTGAGCAGCAGATAGGAGGGGGGGGGAGAAAGAGAGAGAGAGAAGAGAGAGAGAGAGGGGAGAGAGAGAGAGTGGGGAAAGAGGAGTGGCAGACCAAGGGCAGATAGAGAGGGAGGGAGAGAGAGACCCTTTTGACATCTAAAATGAAGATAACACTGCATATATCCTTTTTTTTACCTGTGTGTGTATGTAATTTTATTCTCTTAAAGCATTCTCTTGGTGATCATTGTTTTAATAGTATGGATATTCCCAAGAGTCATATTTTTACTTTTATTTTCAATGTGTATATGTGTGTGTGTGTCTGTGTGTGTGTGTGTGGGTGGGTGGGTGTATACACACACATATACACATACACACACACACACACATACACACACCTATAATAAAGATAAAAAAGGATATATGCAGTGTTATCCTCATTTTAGATATCAAAAGGGTTTTGCGGCTCCCAGTGTTTTGTTTTTGGTGGGAAACGGGTCCAAGTGGCTCTTTGAGTGTTTTGGGTTGCCTACCCCTGGTCTAGCAAGATAGAAACAATTCAGCTCCCTTGAGCATGAATTAATTCTTTTATTGTTATTAATATTAGAAACTTTTAATACTAGTTTTTCTAGCTAGGTGTACTACCAGAATAATGCAAGCAAATCATAACTTCAGGAAAATCAATAAACAGTTTGAAAGCAATAACTTTTCTCTAGTGTTGCCTACCAGCAGCTAGCAATCTAACTGGTGTTAGTTTTTTCTATCCAAATTTTTATTTGGTAACCACTTTAAAGTTCCATTTGCTCTTCTTATTTCAAACAGGTTTCTATAGTTGCCTTACAAAGACAAAAGAAACAAAATTACCTCAATAGCCCACCATTGGTTAAAAACATTTCAGAGGAAGGTTTCCGGGATCCATCCTCTTCAGTGGATGAACTTCTGGATTTAGTCCAAGTGGATCTAGGGAATCTGAGCAAACTCTGGCTTGATGCACTTCAGGATTTTGCTCTCTTAACTTTGCCTTCAGAATTTGCTTCTCAACTTCCCTCTGAAGGTAAGAAGTCAAAGCAAATATTTCTACTGAATCCACTTGGCAGGTAGAGATTCTGCAGAATTTGAGCTTCATTTCCTAACATGAGGTATTGTTGCTACTACACAGAGAACAAAAATAAAACATAAACTTTTAGAGTAATAAAAGATTTGTCAACAGAAGCTGCCAGTAAGCTTGCAGAGGGAAAGCAAGGACGCTTACTGAAAGCCTGTTTAAGTTTTGTTTGTTTTTCGAATGATAAGAACTATGTCTTTGACTCTTCTTATCACTTTGTTATAAACAATAAAAATATTTGGAGCGATTTGAAACAAGCTGAATATGTATTTTTTTTTGTTTATAGGTGGTGCTTTCTATGCTGCAGAAACAATTGAAAATGCAAGGCCACATTATCAAAATGCCTGGGCTCAGATTCTTCATGCTACTGCATTATGGCTTACTAGCACCGGTTTTCTAGTTGGTGATTCAGATGAAGGTCTAACTAATCTTTCACGACCTGTTACTCCAACTAGTATGTGTCAAGATTCAACCTCTAGGGCCGCGGTAAAATCACCTGAAGATGTGAATACTGATAGATTTCATCTTGTTCTGGGTTAGTAAGTATGTAAACTTGTCTTTACCATATTTTTTTGCAGTCTGTTTTTGCCAGTTTCACTGAAAATTGCTGCACTTAAATCAAGAATGACTACACGCCACAATAAAACTGCCTTTCTGCATGGAATTAGTTCAGAAGATCCATTCTACTGAATCAGACAAATGACTTATGAGCACGTACAACACATACTTGTTAATTGAATTTCTGCTATTGTGTCTTATTTTTGTTTATGAAAGTTTGTATACATTGTTAAACATTATTATTTTGACTGAATGAGGTGCAATTGAATGAAGCTAAATGCTGCCAAGATAGAAAGACTGAATTAGTAATTCTTTGATTTGTGAATTAGAAGCATTAATGTTTCTGAGTTGGGTAGCTTTTAAATAAAAATAATAAATAACTTGCTTCTTACAAATGTGCAATTCCTCTGAAAAACCAGGTGCATAATCTGGGATTTTTTACAACAATTAATGTAAATAAATTATAATTCTATTTATAATTACTGTAAATAGACTTTTCCAGCTATATCAAAAGTCTTACCATGTTTAAAACCTGGATATCTTATAAAATATCTTTTTTTCTTATTCTGTCCTCTAAAACAGGGCTTTTCAACCAGTGGTACGGGTACCACCTATGGTACATTGGCACCTGGCAGGTGGTACATGACCATCCTAGAAAAGTGGTAGTGGGGGAGGGGAATGAGCTGAACCGGTGGCAGCACCACACAAGCCTGAGCGAGAGATGGCTGGAGCTGCAGGGCTGTCAGGGCTCAGCGGAATCACCAGGATCAGCGCTTCTTCGGAACTGTCAGGGCTCAGTGGAAGCACCAGGATCAGCGCCAGGCTCCAGCTGGAGATCGGTGCTGATCCTGGCATTTCTGAGCCCTGAAGAAGCGCCGATCAGCTGGAATGTTGCAGCATCTCCAGGGTCTTATAATTTACATTCAGATGCTTGGCAACTGAGTCATATTTATGATGGTCACAGTGTCCCACGGTCATGTGAAGTGACCAAAACCTGCTGCAACCACCCAGCAGACGGGGAATAAAAACCAAACACCCCCCCACCCCATCCCCGCTGCCAATCCTCAATAGAAATGCTCACAACAATGAAAACCTTGGACAGGAGGAAGAGCGCCGCCGGGTGGGCAGGCAGGTGTCTTGTTTGGCTGTGGCTTGGGGGGCACTTTTTCAGTGTCATTGTAACTTCAAACAGTCACTAAGCGAACTGTTGTAAGTTGAGGACTACCTGTACTTTTTTTTTTTTTTTTTTTTTTGGTCATCAAGTTTTTGACACCTTGCTAGGCGACTAGTGGTACTTGGTTTATCCTAAAAGTAGTACAATGGGTGAAAAGGTTGAAAATCCCTGCTCTAAAACAAGGGTGTCAAACTGGCGGCCTGCAGGCCAGGTGCATCACACGCAGGCCACGCTCACCCCGGCTCTGCAAAGGCAAAAAATGTCACAATACATCACGTGACGCGATCGGGTTTGATACCCATGCTCTAAATGGTTAAGATAAACACATTGGCTAAGCGTTTTCAGTAGACCACGCAAGAAAGGCCAATTTAGATACAAAATCAGGAATTTGGTTCCAACTAAGGTGCTATTAGTTCATTCAAGCCATTAGTTCAACTTCATGATACATGTTAAGTTTTCTATTCATTATTCCGATTATTCTGACTGCACTGTGGGCATTTTTAGAGAATGCCATTGACAGTAACTTTATTGTAAATTGTTTTAATTAGTGATATCACCATTTGCTTTCTCAGTTAAAAGTTAAATATAAATTTTATACTTTTAAATGTTACATTTAATTCATCTAATATTCCCTGACCCCATTTTCTTTAGGAATTAGTGTGGAATTTCTCTGTTCTCCCCGGTCAGATGAAACAATGGAGAACATTACTGCTTGTCTAGATGCCCTGCAAGTCCTGCTTGAGGTTTCCTGGCCAAGAGCTAAGATTGGAAGTGATCAGGTAACATTCAAAACTTCTGAGTTAGTTCAGCTGGATATGAATGCTTTTGCCAAATGTCTGTAGAAACGGAACCTTCCCTTATGTCTCTCTTACCTTGTGATATGGGTATAATGTGACAGTTATTTGAATAGTATCTGTGACAAAGTAATTTATGTAGGAATTGTATCCAGCTTACAAATTCACTTTCAACTGCATTTTCTTTCCTTTGTGAACAGTAGGGGAGTCGATAATTTTAAGTATGGGCAGAGTATAATTAATAACCAATTAATAAACTCAAATGGGACATCTACTATATGAAGGCACTTAAAAATTGATCTATGACATCTGTATCAAGAACTGCAGTTTTGTTCATTAGTTATTCAAAGAACACTATACTATGCATTTCCAGTTTTGTTATGAAATATATAGTTGCATGGCTTGCAAGTTTTTTTTTATTTTACTACTCTTATACCTTCAACAGATACATATTAGAGTGTTATTGTTCTGTCTTAAAATAATTCTCTGTGAATAGTGAGAAGATACTTGTGAAAAGTTATAAGTTACTTTTGGACTATGGGAAGAATTAAAATATCTCCTGTTCATGAAGAGGAAAACAATTAGGCCAAGTGTAGACAACCTATAGTATTGAACCCACTTTATTTTGATTTGGCTTGCTCCAATATCACGAAGCTGAAATTTGCAATAAAATTAATAATGGCATAGAATCCTGCAACCTTCCTCTTAAAAACGTTTTTTTAAAAAGCACAGGCTAAAAAAATTTGCCTTTGTTTTTCCTTCAGACAGTTCTTCCTTGTATGCCCACTGAACTCACTACACAGAAGATGAAAATTATTTTTAAAAGCTGTGCCCGTGCAAAGGCATGAAAGAATCTCTAACACAACACGTGTCCTAGTTACGTTATTTTTATAGGGTTTGACACTGAAAACATGAATTCTTCAGGTTTGAATCGAAACAGATATTTGGGGGCAATTCTCTTCCACTCATGCTAATCTACCTTAAATATACTGTATTAAAACTTAAGTAAACAGTCTGCTATGTTTCCCTTATACAGGAGCTGAGTGTGGAGTTGTTGAATGTTTTACATCGACTTATACTGACCAGAGAGTCCCCAGACATTCAACTTGCTGCTCTACAAGTCGTCCAGCTGATTCTTTTTGCAGCACAGGAGCACATCAAGGAAAAACGAAGAAGTGCAGAAGGTAGAGCTGTATAAAAAACTTGATCAAATTTCTTACGACAGTTGTTCCATTTTAGATGAAAGAAATGCTTCATTTACCCACAGTAGCATATTTTGAATTCATGATTTTGAATCATTTCTGGTTTTGTCTCAGATTAAAACTGAGGGTAGGATGGCGGAGGATAATTTTAGCAGAGAGTAGTTTAACAAATTCATTTTTTAACTTTCATCATTGGCTTACCTTTTAAATATAGTAAGCATTTGTTAGAATGACTACAAAAGGCATTCTGTTTTTGTTAAAATTTTTGTTAAATTTTTGTTAATTTTAACAAAAGGCATTCTATTTTATTCTACAATCCCAAACAAATTAAATGACGTGGCTTCTCTTATGAATAACTGTGGACATTGTAATTTTTCAAGGAACTTTAAATTGTTCAATAAAAAATTCTCAGCATCTTTACAAAATTAATTTCTAGCATTCAGGATAGATGATAACTCCTTTGTAAAACACTATGTACATAAAAGGGGTATTTTAAATAATAACAAATGATGCAGTGTCTTGTAAATGAGATAGAAAAATCTGTCATCCATGCTTTCAAATACTTTTCTGCAGCAGATTTCAGCTTTACAATTAACGGTCATGTGTTCATGATCTGGGTGCTTGGCAACCGGAGCGCGCTTATAATGATTAAAACATCCCATAGCAACGTGATCACAATTTCTGACCTTCCCTGCTAGCTTCCCATAAACAAAGTTGATAGGGAAGGTCACAAGTTGGCCGGATCAATCTGTGCCTGGTAGCAGTCACCGCAAGACTCAGGGCACTTATGTTGGCCACTTGTGCACCTTCCGTTGCCCTGCAGCAGCCATTTATCTGGCTCTCCAATCTCTTATTAAAATCCTCTGGTGATGGTGCACCCACAACTTCTGGAGGCAAGCAGTTCCGCTGATTAATTGTTCTCACTGACAGGAAATTTCTTCTTAGTTCTAGGTTGTATCTCTTTTTGTTAAGCTTCCATCCATTGCTTCTTGCCTTGCCTTCAGGTGCTTTCGATTGGTTGATCCCCTCCTCTCTGTGACAGTCCCTCAAATATTGGAAAACTGCTATCATGTTATTCCTAGTCCTTCTCTTCATTGGACTAGATATTCCCAGTTCCCACAACTGTTCATATGTTTTAGCCTCCTGTCCACTAATCATCTTTGTTGCTCTTCTCTACACTCTTTCTAGAATCTCAATATCTTTTTTGTATCATGGTGACCAAAACTGGATGCAGTATTCCAAGTGCTTCTGATAGCATAGATTATGTATATAGCAGATCATCATTGTTATAGAAGAGCCATATGCATAACTCTAGTTGGTGTATAAAAGATTTTTGATAATAATACTACTAATAATAATACTAATAATAATAAAGTTGGAAGGGACCTTGGAGGTCATCTATTCCAACCCCCTGCTCAGGCAGGAAACCCTATACCATTTCAGACAAATGGCTGTCCAGTCTCTTCTTAAAAACGTCCAGTGTTGGAGCATTCACCACTTCTGGAGGCAGGTTGTTCCACTGGTTAATTGTTCTAACTGTCAGGAAGTTTCTCCTTAGTTCTAAGTTGCTTCTCTCCTTGATTAGTTTCCATCTGTTACTTCTTGTCCTGCCTTCAGGCGCTTTGGAGAGTAGCTTGACTCCCTCTTCTTTGTGGCAGCCCCTGAGATATTGGAACACTGCTATCTTGTCCCCCCTCGTCCTTCTCTTCATTAAACTAGACATACCCAATTCCAGCAGCCTTTCCTTATATGCTTTAGCCCCCAGTCCCCTAATCATCTTTGTTGCTCTTCTCTGTACTTTTTCTAGAATCTCAACATCTTTTTTATATCGTGGTGACCAAAATTACTATTTTGCCTTGCATGGAGATGGAATGCCTAGAATAAAAGTCTCTTTGGATGCGTGGGTTGTCCATGCTGCATCGGTGGTTATAGGGGGTGTATTCTGTCCAACCAAATAAGAACACAGAAAACCAGAAGCTATTTAGGAAGCTTCAAAGAGGATTTTTTGTCAATAAAACATAATCTTTATCCTTGATTTCACTATAGTTGATGATGGGGCTGAAGAAAAGGAGACATTGCCAGAGTTTGGAGAAGGCAAAGATACAGGAGGACTTATACCTGGAAAGTCTTTAGTCTTTGCAACACTGGAAATGTGTGTGTGTATTCTTGTAAGGCAGCTACCTCAGCTAAACCTGAAGATAACAGGTGGCCCTGGAATTACAGCTGGAAAACCTCAATTGTTATCAGAAGACGGGAATAGACTGGTAGCAGCAGCCCTGGGAATCCTCTCTGGTGTTCCTGCAGTCTGTTCACCAGAAGGTAGGATAAAATTCCGCTATACATTGTATTTGCAAAAGAAATAAAGAAGCAATGTGTGAAGTGAAAAGGATATATTTAAGCCATAGACTGAGAAAGGCCTTAATTTATTTTCCTCATTTTGTGAAATGAAAGTAATTTACTAAAACAGGGACAAGAAAGTAAATTCAGACAACTTCAAGCAACTGATATGTGCTTAAAAAAAAACAATAAAAGATCTTCATAAATAAAACATATCTTTTGCAATTCTGACTTAAATAGCCATCTCATACAAAGGTATTTGTATGGAAGTCAACTCTTAACGTATCAGCATTATTAATTAAAATTGGTATTTATAATTCTCTTTTTTGTGTGCTTATTAGAATACAACAATTTGAATGAAACATAATATTATAAAAGTTCTGTATACTAATAAAAGAGAATATTTGTAGCTCAGGGTTGAAATGAGGAATCTTTGGTGCTCTCTGACTTGGTTGTTTTCTTGCAGACATTTCATTATCCAAACTAGCACCGACGATGTTACCTAGTTTGGATAATGAAACATCTGCAAAAAAACAACCAAGCTCAGAGAGCACCAAAGATTCCTCATTTCAACCCCGAGATACAAATATTCTGTATACTGTCTAGCTTCAGATTTCAGCTCTAGCTGCCATAAGCATTCCATAATAGATTCACGTCAGTGAAACCACTACTTCAATTTTACAAAAGAAGTAAAATATACTACCGTATTTTCCAGCATATAAGACTTTTTAAACCATGAAAATCTTCTCAAAAGTCGGGGTCGTCTTATACGCCCAGTCGTCTTATACGCCAGAAAATACCATATTTTCCGGCGTATAAGACGACTTTCTAAACCCCTTTTGGGGGTCGAATAACGCTTTCACAGGGGTCGCCTAAGACCATTGGAAAACACATATTTCTGATGGTCTTAGAAACCGAGACACCGCTCCTCTATCCGGCAGCCTCCACCCTCCTTCTCCTCCGCCTCCAGGGTGCCCTTCTCCTCCGACAGCACCTGCTGCTGCAGCGCCATCGTGCGCTCCCCTGACGCCGCCCTGGGCTGGTTCAGCGTCTGAGCTGAGTCGGGTCTGGGGCGCTGCTGCCACTGGGCTGCTCCGCCACTGCCAGCTAAGCTGAGCTGGAGCACCGAGTTGGTCTCCACGCTTCCTGGTTGCCTGGCAGCGCTCCGCCCCGGCCGCCATCCACACTGCGCGGGAGCCTCCCCCGCGCCGTCCAGCCAGCCTCCCTCGCCATCGGAGGCTGCCTCGGTCCTCTGGCGCCTGGCACGGCCATGGGGCTGTCGGGCAGGAGCAGCTCCTTCCCGGCTTGCCGGGCTGCGGGCCTCGGAAGCGGCCAGGAGGTGGGGAAGAGGGCAAGGCAGCAGCGATGACCTCATGTGTGTCGGAGGCCAGCTGGCCGGGCCGGGAGGGGGGAAGTGGCGCCTTCCGAGTGGGAGCTGGCGCTCCGGCTGCGCCCCTCTTGCCTGTGATGGGCTGCGTGGCGTGGAAAGGGGCTCCCGTGACCCCACTGCTGCAATGGCACTCAGGAGGCTGGAGGGGCGGGCAGGTCCTGGGGGAGGGCAAGAGGTGCCAGGATGAGGATGGGGGGCTCCAGGTTGGCGGATGTGAGAGGGCAGCCGGCGACTCCGAGGCGTGCGGATCCTCCGCACAGCTTCCGAGGCCCCGGATGTGCCGCCACTTGGCTCTCCACCAGACTCTCCGCCAGAGCCTCCCCCCCTCCCCGGGCAATTGTGCGGAGCTGCTTGTGCATCCTTGGCAGCGCCTCCCCCCTTCAATCTCTTTCTCCTTCCTTCTTTTTCCCTTCAATCTCCTTCCTTGTCCATCTCCTTCCTTTCCCCTTCAATCTCCTTCCTTTCCCCTTCAATCTTTCTTCCTTCCTTCCATCTCCATACCTTCCCCTTCAATCTCTCTCTCTCTCCTTCCTTCCTTTCCCCTTCAGTCTCCTTCCTTCTCCATCTCCTTTCTTTCCCCTTCAATCTTCCTTCCTTTCTTCCTTCCATCTCCATCTCCAGAGTAATTATTTTTCTAAATTAATCTCATCTCAAATATTTGTGTTAGCATTAAGTTGATGCTTAATTTAGAAGTGACAGTTCTTATTAAATACAACACTGAGCTTGAAATAACGGAGGTCTAATAAATGCATGATGAAACTTGTGTTTTGTTTAATGCACGATGCAAGATTTTTAACAATCATATTTATACTGTGCATTTGCTATATCCTTCAGGAAGCATTGCTGTTCTTCCCACTATCTTATATCTGATTATTGGAGTCCTCAGAGAAACTGCTGTGAAGTTGTCCAGTGGCCACTTACCCATGACTGTTTCTGCATCACTGCAAGCTCTTAAAGGAGTCCTAATATCACCCCTGGCTCAGGCAGAGAAGAGCCAAATGGCTTGGAATGAATTGCTCCGTAGTGCTCTGGTCACCATTCTTAATTTTTGGGATCAAGGTACAGTATAAATGGGAAGAAAAAGGGTTGCTCAGATACATGGTATAAGAATAAGTATAATATAGAGCATTAAGAAATAATTTTACACTCAGCCCAGTAATATGCTACTGGGCACACAATAATTAGCTATTGCTGCTTAAAAACAATTCTAGTTTCTTGGAGGGCACAAGTTTCTTCTTTTCAGCAAACCTGCTCTTTGCCCCTTTCTATGATCATAGCCTTTGCTTTGTTCCTTTCCTAACTGTGTTCACTTCTTGTATTCCCCTCCGGTATTTTTTTCTGTGAATCTTAGCTTGCACACACTGTGTCACAAATATTTCTTTTCCATTTTCTTTGTCTAGACCTATTATTTCTTGTAATGTTGAATGTAGCAGGTTCATAACTATAGAAAAGCACAGAACTGGAATTGAGACGTCCACAAATTTGGAGAGACCCTCCCCAAATTTGTGGACTTCTCGACATTCAACGTTGCAAGAAATAATAGGTCCCAATAAAGTAGCGAATAAATGTTTCTCAAAGTTAAGATTCCCAGCTACCAGTTTAATCTCTTTCACATATAGAAAATCTTTAGAATTTTAAGACTGTGAATCCAGAATTTATTAGCAGAAAAACCTAGAAAAAATACATTTGTGATTTAAATCTGAGTATCTCAGTAATCCAAATTTGGTTTCCTTGTTACTGTATATGACATTCTGATTTTGGACTGTATGCCTGAAACAGTCCAAAGTATTTTAAGCACATTATTTTGTCAATGGAAGTTGGCTTGATAGAAATGCTGTGCTATTAAGAATGTTGGGATTCCAACAGCAGTAGAAATGATAAATGCTGGAGATTGAGATGTGTGCATGTGATTGTTCCTGAAAGTAGAAAGCAATTATTAAGGAAACAGTTTTTTTAATAACAGAAAGGAACTTAAGTACAGGGAATAGATCATAACAATAGGTAAAGCCTGGCTCCTGGCTAACCATATCCTACCAGAGAATCAAAGAGTACCTATAGTTTATCAGAGAAGGAAGGCAGAAAGAACTAAGGAGAAATTTCTTGATAGTAAGGACAATTAACCAGTGGAATGGCTTGTTTCCAGAAGTTGTGGATGCTTCATCACCGGAGGTTTTTAAGAAAAGATTGGAGAACTACTTGTCTGAAAGAATTAAAGGTATACTCCCTGTTCCTTTTGTCAATTAAATTGCAAATCTCTATGATATATAGAATAGAAAGTAACAGACTTGGAAGTGACCTCTGAGGTTTTCTAGTCCAACTCCCTATACCACTACTTGTCTGAAATGGTATAGGGAGTTGGACTAGAAGACCTCAGAGGTCACTTCCAAGTCGTTACTTTTTATTCTATATATCATAGAGATTTGCAATTTAATTGACAAAAGGAATGGGGAGTATACCTTTAATTCTCCACCTGCACTCCACTGCCCCCATGTGGTTAGTATAGCATGAGGCCCATCACTGCAAGTTCTCAAAGTGTTACCAGAATCCTACCATTTTAAAATGTTTTTGCAGTTACAGCTTTAATACAAGATTAAAATTCTAAGCAGTTTATTAAAAAAATCTTATTGCCTGACATTAAATATTTCAGTAGTACTTTACATTTAGTCCTTGCTTAACCTCTTGGAATAAGCAACTCTTGTCACTAAGCAACGTGGTAATGAAGCAAGAGATCACCTGACAGCAATTTGTGATTTTACTGCCAGCTTCTCCATGGACTCTACTTCTCGACATTCAACGTTGCAAGAAATAATAGGTCCCAATAAAGTAGCGAATAAGTGTTTCTCAAAGTTAAGATTCCCAGCTACCAGTTTAATCTCTTTTACATATAGAAAATCTTTAGAAGCTTTAAGACTGTGAATCCAGAATTTATTAGCAGAAAAACCTAGAAAAAAATACATTTGTCAGAAATTGGCTGTGAAGCATGCAAATGGTGATCACATGACTGTGGGATGCTGCAGTGGTCATAAACTCCCATTGGTTGTGAAGAGTGCACAGCTTGAACTCATGAAGTTATTTTTTCAGCATTGTCCGTACAAATTTGTATTAGATATAATAGAGATAGGTAGTCCTCAATTTACAACCATTCATTTAGTGACCATTCAAAGTTATAAAGGAACTGAAAATAATAACGTATGGCCGTTTTTTCACACTTACAACTGTTACAGCATCCCCATAGTCAATAATCAAAATTCGGGCACTTAGCAACTGGCATGTATTTATGACAGTTGCACTGGCCTGGGGTCATGGGATCACCATTGGTAACCTTCCCAAGCTGCCTTTAGATAAACAAAGTCAGTGGAAAAGCCAGATTCGCTTAACAACTGCATGATTCCCTTAACAAATCGAGTGATTTGCTTAAAAACTGTGGCAAAAAAAAGGTAAAATGGGGTGCAACTCACTTAACAATTGTCTTGATGAGCAACAGAAATGTTGACTTCAATTGAGCTCTTAAGTCAAGGATTATTTATTTGCTTAATAATATCTTATTATACAGTTTGGTTCAAAAGCATACCAGAACTTGACTTTAATATTTTGACGTTATAATTAGTCCCGTTTCAGATATTTTAAAATGTCTTATTATTGGTAGATGATACGGGTCAAGAATTGGACGAAAGTAGTCTGCTGACTGCAATCACCATATTTATTTTGTCTGCAAGTCCGGAAGTTAGCACCTTGGAATGTCTTCAGAGACAGTGCATTGAGAAATTTAAATCAGCAATGGAATCTAAAGATCCCACTGTAAGTACAACTTAAATTTGTTTTGAGATTTGTTACCATTGCTATGTGCTTAATGTTTATCCCTTTTCATTGAATATACATGTGCCTCCCACTACTAAAAATGAGATGGATGACTATACAGTAAATTTTCCTCTATGATTTCATCCTGTTGTTAGCCCATAGCTTTGTCAATGAAAACAACCACCTGAATCAGCCATTTGGAACTTGATTCTACTTTACACAGTCAATATATGTTAAAACTTCATCAGTGTATCTATTCTGACAATTTACTTAGGAAATCTGAAATGTCTGATTAAAAGAAACTTAGGATCTTCACAGAAGTTGACATTCTGTGTCTAAAAACATTGTTCCATCTTTTTGAATTTTTTGGAGAGACACTGAAAACTATCACTTGATTTCTAACATAAGGAAGTTCACAAATGGAAATTTTTCCCAGATTTTTCCCCACCTAACAGGTCCAGTTGCTTCATCCCATATTGTTCAGGAATGACTCCAAGGTTTTGGGAAAATGCGAGTGGTTACAAGACAGGAAGCTTGCCTTATATAAATTTCCTTATAGATGCTTATCTTGGGCTTCAAATTTATATACTCTTCCTCTTGTTGTGAAGGCATCTATATAGATCTCAGCATTGGTATTTTTACTGAGGATGTATGACATCCTTAAGCAAATAGTCTTTCCTAATTTATAGTTAGGAGAAAAGGGTGGGGAAATATCCTGGGATTAGCCTATATTGTTACCTAACGATCATTAATTCTTCTTTCCTCTACCGTGTCCTCTATTTTTTTATATCTAAGGGGAGCCTGTGCAATAAACTTTTGGAATTAACTTCAGGATTTTAACTTTAGCTAAATTGGCTTAAAACAAACTTGTAAAAACTTGTAATACTTAGTGCATTAAGTAATTATACAAATCACAGTTCACAGTGGCAGTTTTAACTTGTTTTTTTTTTTTTTTTACATTTGGATGGACTATCTTTTTTAAATAGTTCTTTCTTTTTAGGTGCAACTTAAATGCTACCAGCTGCTGCTTTCCATTTTCCAGTGTCCCAATCAAGCTGTCTCATATCCCTACATTCATTCATTAGTATCTTCAGTGGTGGCCAAACTACAGGAAACAGAAAAAATTAAACCAGAGAATTCTGCCGAACTTCAAGTTGTGCAAGAAGAAATAAAGGTAGTGGCTGCTGTTGTAGCCCTTGCTGAGGAAGAGCATCGTAAGTATTCTTTGTATATTCTTTCAAAAGAATAAAACATTGCAACATAAAACATTGTAATATTATCTGATGATTTCTAGTTAGTGGCCATATTCTACCCTTTCTGCCCTGGTAGACCATTGCCCTCTACAAGAAAATCAGTGTTGGAAGAAAATAATGGAATCTTGCAAGTTGCAGAGGTTTAACAATCTTATGTTTTTTATGATGCTTTGCCAACAATAGATATGTGACTTTGCTGCAAAGTACTGTGACTGAGTCATACAGGGGCCTCAGGTTGTTTGTCCCTTCCTTAGAATTATCATAGCCCAATTTTGCCCATGTTAATTGATTTTGACTAGATCAGTTTTCTTGAAGTCACTGAAACAGTGTGCATCAAACATGGAAGAGTGAGTAGTTGCAGACTACAGCCAAAAATCAAATATTTTTAGTGTATCAGTTTAGATTTTAAACTGCTTCCTATGCTTTTGTGAATACGGAAAAAGCACTATTTCTTGACATAAACTCTTGAGAAATGTATGCATATGTTTGTGTGTATTCATAATACCATGAAGAAATTATAGTAAGATAGTCATTATAAGAAGCAGGGAAAAGTAATAGGTTTTCATCATTGGAAAATCTCTTGCTTGCTTCTTCAGAATGCAAAGTTCATGTTTTATAGCTTGAAGCGTAATATCCTAAATAGCAAGTTAAAGCAATGTTATTTACAGTTAATTAAGCAAGCATATTTGTTTATTGAAAAATACATTCTACTGTATCAAATGATATCAAGTTTCTGGTACAGTTGTTTTAAGAGTTAAAACTGATAATTATGAAACTGATGCTATTTATCATTACTGAATAAATGACTCTTTTCCATTTTCACAGGAAGTCAACTAGTGGCTTGTTTTATTCCCATCCTCATATCTTTTCTTTTGGATGAAAATGCCCTAGGATCCGTTTCAAGTTCAGCAAAGTATCTTCATGAGTTTGCTTTGAGTTACCTGATGCAGATTGGTCCACAGTATACATCAGCCTTTAAAAAGTTAATGGCTTCTTCCCCATCAATGAAAGCAAGACTTGAGTCAGCCGTGAAAGGAAATCAAGAAAGCATCAAGGATAAGGCAACACCTAAGCATCCAAAGAATCCTGTGAAAGGCTCAAGTATTCAACTAAAGACTAACTTTCTGTGAAAAGGACCTCACCTTAAACCTTAAACATCCTGGTTATATTGAAAAGTGTTTTTTTTTTCAGGTATTATCATGGAGATTTTTGTTTTCAGTTCTATTATGCATTATTTAATTTTGTATAATGCTCCAATTCCAGAGAAGTGCATGCATGCACCCATCTCTCTATCTCTCAGCTGACTGACTCAGTAGCAGCTACTGAACTAGAGCTATATAGTACCAGTTACAAGATCTGTTTGCAAATACAATTCCCAATAAGAAGAGGCCCATTCAATTGTTAAAATATATATTACAAGATTTTTTTTAAAGTTGCAATTTTATTTGGAATATACTATAACACTCTTGAATAAAATATATTGAAGACTTAATGTGTTAACAACTTGATACACTTATATTAATAAAGTTACTTTTATTTCAGTCTTGAATCTTAGCACAAACGTCAACCTAGGGAAGCTCTTATGCATTGCTATTTCTTGATAATACAGGTTTAAAACCACAATTGGGACTGGAACTTTCATCGCGAAATGATGCTGTTGTTAAGTGAGTCACACCTGATTTTACAACATTTTTGCCATGGTCATCACAGTTGTTACGCAAATCTGGCTCTCCCACCACCACCCCATTGATTTTGCTTGTTGGAAGCCCCCGGGAAAGTCATAAATGGAAATCATGTGAGCCAGAAACATTGCAGCAATTGTAAATATATGTCCATTGACAAGCACCCAAATTTTGATCAGTGGGGATGCTGTGATGGTCGTAAGTGTGAGGATCAGTCGTAAGTCACTTTTTTCAGCACTTGCTAAACAATAGTAATACCAATAGCACTTAGACTTATATACCGCTTCATAATACTTTACGGTCCTCTCTAAGCTGATTATAGAGTCAGCAAATTGCCCCCAACAATCTGGGTCCTCATTTTACTGACCTCGGAAGGATAGAAGGCTGAGTCAACCTTGATCTGGTCAGGATTGAACTCCTGACAGTGAGCAGCCTGCAATACTGTATTCTAACCACTGCATTACCAAGGCTTACAATAAATGGTTGTAAGTCAAGCACTCCCTATAATGATTTTTGTGTGTGTGTGATAATTTGCTGGTATGAACTCTTAAACAAAAACACAAAAGAGCAACTTAGTATACAGTATGTTCACTTTTGGCTCCTTGAAGTGCATTGCCTGTTCATTTTAGATGACAAGTAGGGAAAATTACCTCTAATGCTAGAATTAATGACACAAAGTACATGGCTAGCTCTTTTAATCTGACTAATTTGTTAAAAATGGTTAAAATGTTAGTTTTGCTATCCCATTTTAATTGTAAATTTAATCATGAAATTCTTTACAGTTCTATACAGTATTGTGTTATACCAGTGGTTCTCAACCTGTGGGTCGGGACCCCATTTGGGGTCGAACAACCATTTCATGGGGGTCGCCAAACAAGGCTGTCCGCATTTTTTCTCCTTTTCTTTGGCCACGCCCCTGGCAACCAGTGATGTATAAGTGGTTGGGGGTCACCACAACATGGGGAACTGTATTATGGGGTCGCGGCATTAGAAAGGTTGAGAACCACTGTGTTATACTAATTTAGTCATGACATAATTAAGTAAAAGGACTATTCTTGAAATCCACAGAAACATAAAATTATTGTTAAGTAACTAAAACCCACATTTAAATTATTATTGATCACCAATGAATTGTGGAGCAATTAAATGTTGATGACAATTCACTCAAATTTTGTAGTTTTAAATATTTATATATCCAAAGTTAAGCACATCTGTTTATGATTATATCAATGGGACTTTTTACTACCAATACATTTTATTTGATTTTAAATGTATCATGCCAAGCAGATCATTGAGGCTTACATATCTTTTTAGAGTATGAAAATGATTTGAGGCAGTACTGTCATATGAGACATTACATTATTTATTGCAGTGATGGCAAACCTTTTAGAGACTGAGTGCCGAAACTGCAGTCCAAAACCCTCTTATGCATTGTCGGTTGCCGAGTGGGTTTGGCCCATTGAGTGGGTGTGGCCCATTGGGTGGGTGTGGCTGCAGTGGTAACTGCAGACTGGGTGGGACTAAAAAGTTCAATCAATCAATTCCAACTTTGCAAGATTTTTTTTTCCCACGAGAAGTTGAAATTCACTGATTGAACCTTTTTTTTGTACACGGCGACGGAGGCCTAAAGTGAAAAGGTTTTATAAAACCCAGCTGAAGGCCTAGGACTGGAGCGAAGGCGCGCATGCCCACAGAGAGAGCTCTGAGTGCCGCTTCTGGCACCCGTACCATAGGTTCGCCACTACTGATTTATTGTAATCATTTTGTAGTCTTAAAACATTGATGTACAATCATGCATTCAAATATTAAAAACTCTAATGAGAATGAATTACTTTTTCAAACTGAGTGTTATCTGAACTGTACTGTAGTTTGGATTATAAGAATAAATAATCTGGTAACAAAATATCTGCACACAACAACCAAGCTCAAAGAACATCAAGGATTTCAAAATAAACAATCACAATTAACTAAAAATGGATCCTATTTTACATAGAAGTGTAGGTGTTAATTCCACAATGATTACAATATTTTTTAAAATTGTGCTGGCAATCATTGCCCTTTAATTCAGTATTATGTGAAGTAAAGCAAATGTTTAGATGACTATAATACTCCCATTAATTTGAGGAAAATAAAAACATCTGTATAGCCAATACTCAGGAAGTGATTGTATTTTATTATACAATTTGTACATAAAATTGTAAATTGTACAGATCTAACCACTTGAGCAATGGTGTCATTTTTCTAATTTACATAAAGTTAATTTTCATCAATTAAATCTGTGTCTTTGTCAAATGATTCTGCATACGTATATTGTATATTGTATCATGTATGATTTTTATAACTTTTCTCCAGTATTATGTAGTGGGATTGCATCTGGGAGTGCTTGGTTTTAACTTACTGTTTTTATTCAGGAGAACAGAAATCACATATGACACATCCTTTGTTTTTTTTAATAAAGATGGATCAATCCGAAAGACTGTTTCTCCAAAGATAAAAGTCTGCTTCTGCCAATGCATTATTTTTATTTAATTATGTGAAGGCACAGGATTTTATTCAGGAATGTTTTCACATTGTTAAGTTAATCTGAGTGAATAAAATTAAATAATGAAGGAAGTACATATAGATGTATTTTTAGTAATAGAGATAATTACACAGAATGCACTCAGCTACCACCTCAAATTTAGGAAATCTGAAAAGTAATCGTTATGCTGCATCTTGAAAAATAACTACCCATAAAACCCAAATATAAAAAATACACTTATGTATATTGTGTAACCACTGAGTTAAAAATGAACTTCTAGATCATATTTTTCCATGCTTGTTTATTCCTTTTTATTAGATTTTTATTCTGCTTTTTAGGGGGCATGTTGGATCAGCAGTTAAAGAAGCTGCTCTTGTCATCTGGAAAGCTCACAACCTGAATTCGAAACCTGGACATCCTGTCACAGGGTGAGCTCCTGTTACTTGTCCCAGTTTCTGCCAACCTAGCAGTTCGAAAGCATGCAAATGCAAGTACATAAATAGGTATCACTTCAGTGGGGAAAATGTCAATTTAGGAAAGGATGCGGAGGTTTTGAGGGATATCAATTTAGAAAAGGATGCAGAGGTTTTGAAAGAAGTCCGCTGTCTGTCAGGTGCTACTGCCGGCAGGGCAAGAAGCATATTTTTAAGATAGTCAAAAATGCCAGTAGGACTGTGATGTTGATGCTATTGTATATCTTGGCATGAATGATCTGTCCCAAAAAGATGTACTCTCTTTTTGCAGAATGATTTCCAGAGCTTGGGGCAGGAACTTTGTAGGATAGGCTATAGGCTTACTTTTTCAGAGGTTTTACCTATATAAAAGGAACAAAAATGAAAAGGCAAGGGTATAATGTTGGTCAATGTGTGGCTAAAGGAGTGGTGTAAAGAGGAAGGCTTTGGTTATATTAGCCACGATGTCTGCAGCTGGTCCACTGAAAAACGGTACAAAAGAGATGGTTTGAATCCATCAAAGAAACGGACTAGGTTACTTGGCATTAAATTCACAGATTTTCTGGAGAAACATTTAAACTAAATAACGGGGGCAGAGAATTAATAGATACAGAACATTTCTGTCCTCAGCAATTTAAATAGGGTTATCAGTTCTTGAAACATAAATATTTGTGCAGATAAGAATATCAACCTTGTTGTCATGGAAAATCAAGCTTTTGACAATGTGTGCCATACTATGTGCACTAATCTAAATGGCTCCTACCAACTGTGTCTGATACACTGAAAATTAAAACTGACAAAACAACACCTCATTTTACCATGTACCGGTTAAGTCTACATTTACTGGGATTACAAGCCATCGCAAACTAGGGATGAAAATAGATGTCTGCTACACTGATGACCTTGTGGATAGTACACTAATTCCATTGGCATTTCTTCTTATACTGTGTCAGGGACAATATAGATGGGATCAAATCATTTTCTTTGAAAGAAAAATATTATCTTTTCTTACATTAATGAGAACAGAAATGAAAAGGACCGCACTTCTTGTTTGTTTGTCTTGGCTACTGACTTAATCATATAGCCTTGAAATCCTATTTGAGGAAAAATCTGGAATTATAGGGATGCTGTTTTAAGAGAGAGAAAGTGAGCACAATTGTAATGGTCGCCATTTTTCCTCTGCTGACTAACTTGCCATCAGAGAATAACCTGCACAGCTTCAGGAATAGGCATTCTTTGTCTGGTTCTATGTGCATGTGTAAGGTTGAACTATTTTTGTCCATGTGTGACAAAAGGATCCTCCTAGATTTGTTATTTATCAATCAAATTTTGGTATTGCCTATCTCACCCTTAGAATGAGTCTGGGCAGTTTATAGATAAAAGCATAAAAATACAATACATACCAAATTTAGTCAAATGGAAGCCAAGTTTAAAAAAATAGATTAAAAAAAGTTAAAAATATTTTATGTATTAACTTAAAAGTTGGCAAAAGAGAATATTATTGGAAGAAGAAGAAATCAAGTAAAGCTATTATATGGACTATAAAATTATAGAAATTGATTATTGTTTTTTAAACACTAAGACAACACAATGTTTACCAAATATTAAGATGTACGTTAAAAATCAATAAAAAGTTTTTTTTAAAAAAGTTAAAAATAGAAAGGCAGCAGGAGTGCCTTCAGGGTGCTAACCACCCCTAGAGTTGCAGGCCTCACATTGAGCTCCACACAAGTTGGAAGAGTCAGGTCTTCAAGCTTCTAAAGACCAGGAGAGTAGAGGTCCATCTTACCTCTGGGGGAAAGATGTTCCATAAGACAAGGGCAATGGCAGAGAAGGTTTTCTTCCTGGACCAGTCAAAATTCTTTAACTGACAAGATCTCTAACATCCCTTCCCTGACTGCTTGCATGGGATGGATCAATATGATGAGGGTGGGACAGTTCCTCAGGTAACGTGCCTGATGCCATTGCAGGGCTTTAATGATAATATCTTGAATTGGAGCCGGAAGTGAATCAGCACCCAATGTACAGCCAGGTCCAGAAATATTGGGACATCGACACAATTCGAACATCTTTGGCTCTATACACCACCACAATGGAGTTGGAATGAAACAAACACAATGTGCTTTAACTGCAGACTGTCAGCTTTAATTTGAGGGTATGTACATCCAACTCAGGTGAACGGGGTAGGACTTACAGCAGTTTGCATATGTGCCTCCCACTTGTTAAAGGACCAAAGGTAATGGGACAATTGGCTTCTCAGCTGTTCCATGGCTAGGTGTGTGATATTCCCTCATTACCCCAATTACAATGTGCAGATAAAAGGCCCAGAGTTCATTTCAAGTGTGCTATTTGCATTTGGAATCTGTTGCTATCAACTCTCAAGATGAGATCCAAAGAGCTGTCACTATCAGTGAAGCAAGCCATCATTAGGCTGAAGAAACAAAACAAACTCATCAGAGAGATAGCAGGAACATTAGGTATGGCCAAAACAACTGTTTAGAACATTCTCAAAAAGAAGGAACGCACCAGTGAGCTCAGCAACACCAAAAGACCCGGGAGACCACGGAAAACAACTGTGGTGGATGACCAAAGAATTCTTTCCCTGGTGAAGAAAACACCCTTCACAACAGTTGGCCAGATCAAGAACACTCTCCAGGAGGTAGGTGTATGTGTGTCAAAGTCAACAATCAAGAGAAGACTTCATCAGAGTGAATACAGAGGGTTCACCACAGGATGTAAACCATTGGTGAGCCTCAAAAACAGGAAGGCCAGATTAGAGTTTGTCAAACAACATCTAACAAAGCCTTCACAGTTCTGGAACAAGATCCTATGGACAGATGAGACCAAGATCAACTTGTACCAGAGTGATGGGAAGAGAAGAGTATGGAGAAGGAAAGGAACTGCTCATGATCCTAAACATACCACCTCATCAGTGAAGCATGGTGGTGGTAGTGTCATGGCATGGGCATGTATGGCTGCCAATGGAACTGGTTCTCTTGTATTTATTGATGATGTGACTGCTGACAAAAGCAGCAGGATGAATTTTGAAGCGTTTCGGGCAATATTATCTGCTCACATTCAGCCAAATGCTGCAGAACTCATTGGACGGCACTTCACATTGCAGATGGACAATGACCCAAAGCATACTGCAAAAGCAACCAAAGAGTTTGTGAAGGGACAGAAGTGAAATGTTATG